TTTGATGGGTTGTCAGTTGATTAGCTAGGGTCAATATTCCTATTTTATCCGCACGGGAGACACTCCTAGAATGCAGAATTCTCTCCTCCTTTACAGAACCTTTCCTTGGTTTCTTTGTTCTGAAAGAAAAATAAATTCACGGATGTGGACATCCTGACAGTTTTTATTATAAAAATTTGTATTTGAGAAAGTAAAACATCATCAACGAAAAAATATCGAGCAGGCAACATCGATGATAAAAAAATGTCTTCAATAAACCGATGTTAAAAGAGACCTCCGGTCTTGCCTTCAAAAGCCCATAAAGTTTATCGCCTTACCGCTTGTAATTCATTTTATCAAACTTTCTCATTGTATTTCACTTTCTATTAATATTAATTTGAACAATTGTTGAATGTTATTTTCCTCCCTCATTTAACTTGGCATGCATGAGACAGCAGCATTTATTTCAAAGGTATCTTCAATTTATGCTGTTCGAGTTTTTGATTATACTGGCTTCAGCTTTCATTGAATAAATAACGACTGGAAACTCTGCAACTGTGTTACTCTCTCGAAGCAGAGGGCAGAATACATTGTTATTTTTGTAACAAGATTTGAGACTACTTACATTTAATGTTACTTTGTTTACATTTTTTCTAAAGGAAAACATACAAAACTATTTCAATAAAATATTATAATTAAATTGCGATTTTACTGCAATGTATAGAGCAAACCTTAAATTTTATGCTCATGCATCTGAGCACAGTTCATTTTCTATTCCAACCGTTTTTTAAAAAGCTTTATTTTCTGGTCGCGTGAATTGCAAGGTCATTAGCAACAATTTATACAATACTTTACAATTCATCAAATAATTTTATAAATTTTAGAAATTTGAAGTCATTATAAATGTGATATGGTTCTGTTAGTAATTTGGAAAGACAGTTTGGAAGTGAATATGAGTACACTGAAAACACTGGGCAATATATTAAGGTACCAACCGTTGTTGTCTGCAGTATATTTGGAAAACAATTTGACTGATTAATTATTTGTGATTTACTGTGTTTTTCTATTCAATACTGGGACCTATAATTTTAGATGTTTTGCTTTTGTGAGTTGAAATTATTGATATATGTAAAATAGTTGTTTGAGGGCAAGTTACTTCACACTGAATGTGGGTTCCTTGGTCGAATATTAATATAAACGGAATCTGGAGAAAGGCAGTTGGTTCACTTGTTCCTGTATTAATTTTATTCTTTGCTCTTTTTAAAGCACTTTTTACTTTCTATAGCTACGCATGGACTCGAATAACCCCCACTTAAATACTATACCACACAAAACATAATAAAATGGTTAACGATGAATCTAAAGTAGCTGATCCATCATCAGCAGGGCAAGGAATTTGTATGGAAAAACAGATATCTAATATGTGCGTGCATATCGCGTATAAATGTTCTAAACGTGGTAACTCATTGAATAAAATAATTCAAAAAGTAAAAATAATCTATTACTCAAGTGTTGAAATACTACTTAAATAAATTTACTAAAATAAAACATCCAAAGAAATTTTTATTTTCAGCTGTTGAATAAAATATACGCGTGCTGAAAAAAACTGAATTATTGTGTTGTTGGAAGGTCGTTCTTTAATTATTTTCTGTTACTTAGGCATTTATAGAGCACTAGTTTGCAATTTTTAAATGTTCACATGTAAAATTTCCCTGTTTATCTGTTAATATTTATTTGTAATAGTTAAAATTCCGCCCAACATCAGATGTAGTGAAAGAGTTCTTCTTGAAACTTGCAAAATATTATTCAGTTACACTTCTAAACCCGATTTACCATATTATTTGAATTGAAAGTTTAAAATAATATTCTAAGAATAATTTTGAAACAGTATAATACAGAACACATTTCAAATAAAATACTGAAATACGCAAAACTTTGGCTATTCCTTAAATATGTGAAAATATTTACTACACCTCGAAATTAGGACAAATATGGATAATCTAAAATTATTTAAATAACTTCTAAAAGTCTACTTCGAAAACATGCCAAAAGTTTGATCGTAATTATCGTAATTAGTGAAGAAACAAATTTGTAATAAATAAATCTTAATTCAATCTTGAGGTTTAGGTGAACCAGATAAAGAAACATCCGTCCCGTTGTTTCAGTGCAGAGTCGAGGAAAAGTCAGACATTGTGTTCAGTGCATTATTTCTCAGAATCGATTGACAGTGATTGATGAGGCTAACTACTTATTTAAAGCTAACAGTTTAATGACCACCCTCTCGGATATCGAGCTTTCGAAGGTTGAAGGAAACTCCATTTCCAGAGTTTTAAAGTTTCCCAACCTCGATTGATTTAGCTCGTTAATACATAATACATTATGCTTTTCTAAACCATTAAATACGTATTTGATGGTATCGGAAACACATCTGCGTAGAGTTAAACATCCAAGTATCAGTTACAATTGGTATGCCGCATGTACGGAAAGTTGAAAGTAATATTATTGTGTTCCGTTTTGTGGCGTTTATATTTGAATAATATTATATGAAATTGTAACTGTTTTACCTTTTCTATAATGGAATGATAATTGATATTAGCATAAAGGATATAATCACTGTCATAATCGTATGTCAAGGTGTATGACATCATCAAAGTGCCCCTTTCCCTTTTGTTCCCGTAAATTTCGTGTCTGTCTTATTTCGTTCAACTTATCCTCTCAGACCTATTATACGGCAATAAAACTAGATGATTGGATATTATTAATTTATTTTGTCTTCTTTTTTATGGACAAATGTATTCAATTTTGTAACACCTTAAAATTGACGTCTGAAAGATGAAACTACACTTCTGCCTTACATTCCAAATTAATTGCAATGTAATGGTGAATAGTGTAGTTAGAATGACGTAAAGAATAAAAAAAACACCAATACTAACACTTCAATAATATTTCGGTTCCAAATAGTTGTTTGTATCCTCATCAATTCACGAAAATTGTGAACAAGAAAATAGAGTTCAATACTTCACAACATACGACTTAATTGTTACAAAACATGCATCTTTTGTTCTCATAATACGAATGTACCAACGAGCTAGTATATACTACTATCCTTTAATATATTACAATACTGTATACTACTATACTGTAGTATATTCTGGCTTGTTGAAATGTAGAGATTTTCAACTCTTTTCTCTAGATGAATTGTTTATTGAAATATTATTATTATTAGTGTTATTATTAATTCTACTGCCATACAAAAAATAAGTTCATTCCGGGGGATCAGACCATGCCTTCTGTATGTTTCTGGAGTCGCTAAATCTGAATCCGGTATCCATTTTGCTCTATCGCATCAGGTTTTTGAGGTATCCTCAAAAAATATAAAAATGAAAGATATTTCTAATCGAGGGGTCAGACCTATATGTTTTTGGGGTCGCTGAAACCGAATCAAAAGTCCATTTAACTTCATTCCATGAGATTTTTCAAATAACCACAAAAAAATTAAAAACCTGTCTGCTTGGAGAGAGAGGTGCCAACGATATCTGCCATACAACGTGATGAGTTTGTCTCGTCAGAGACCAATACCATCTTCTCTATCAACTATAATTGATCTGAATTGAAAACCTGACGCGATGAAGTTAAATGGACGTCAGGTTCAGTTTCAGCGACCCCCAAAACATATAGGTAACATGGTCTGACCCCTCGAAATGTCTTTCATTTTTATATTTTTTGAATTTATGTGAAAAACCTGATGTGATGGAATAAAATGAACGCCGGATTCGGATTAAGCGACCCCAAAAGCAAATAGAAAACATGGTCTGATCCCCAGACACGTACACATTTTTTCTGTGTGGCTGTGTTATTTAACTACTGCTAAGAAACATTATGTTTTTGAGGAATAGGAAGTCTAGTACAAATTGAGTATTAAGGATAGTAATTAATTATTGATACTTTGTACATCAATTTATCAATCATTTCACGTGTAATAATTTCTCTATTTGCACAAATTGAAGTGATGTGTGCACACATGTGTTCTGTACACGACACGCTGAGACAGCTGTTGTCAAGGAGATTGATCGCTAATAATTGCAAGGCGGTTTTTAAACCTGTATCCTACTGTATCGAATATTCTGCATACATTTTTTTTCAAAGTACGTGTCTCGGAAATAAGAATCCACGACATTCCCTTTCTTTCATTCTAAATTCATACACAACTAAGTGATTATAATATATAAGTTATATGTCAAGAGCTACAGACCTCCCCACTCTCTCTCTCTCTCTCTCTCTCTCTCTCTCTCTCTCTCTCTCTCTCTCTCTCAAGCAAACGAATCTGAATATATGTAGAAAATTAAAGTGGAACTTTCAAGCACTCGCAAGCAGGAAATTGAAACAAAACCATCCATCATCGTAGAGACCCACTAAAAAACCAGTCATCATCCAATTTTAATATCGACTCTTCCATTGAAAACAATTATTCCCTTAGAAAAGAACGGTTGGCATTTTGGATGGTAACGGTTCACCGCACAGTGTGCAATATATAAATCAATTTTGAATTTCTAAGCCGATAGTTGTGCTCAATCGGCCACCACATTCGGCTCTCGCACACTTTTTTCTTGTAATCATGATGAAGAGTGAGAGGAACATTTCTTTGACATTGACTGCAAATGCACTGTCACCGAGAGACTCATGCAGGTAGTATAGTTCAGACTTTCCTTTGTGTTTCATGACAGTTGTAAATACTAAGTGGATTTGAAGAAACTGTAAAATTCCGAAATCTTTATTAGATGCTTTGTGTAGCTACAAGATTTGTTTTATTACTGAATAGGCGCTGAATAGTGCGCTGGCTTCAAACGAGGAGTGATAAACACGAACATTGCAGCGACAGGACGGACCGCTTGTTGGTTTCCGACGCGACTTCTTAAGGTTAATTGGAGGGTTAACCTCAACAAGTCTTAGTCCTTGATAAGTATTAAGAAATATTGATACCAGTAATAAAACGCTTGTAAAACCTAAACGAATTCGCGTCGGGAAAACTAGCATCCATTCTGACGCCGCACAGCTTATTACTTTTAACTTCGTATCATTTGGATATATTTAAGAGTACAAATAACACAGAGTACATAAACTTACATTCTCTGTGACAACTAGGTATATCAGTACCTAATAAACGAGGTCCAGTTGATATTTAAACTGTTTCCCGTAAATATGGTCTGCTCTGAGACCGTATGCTAATTATTTATATTGTATTTTGTGTCAGCAGTAAAATGTCCGAAGAAGGATATCGACAGAGAGAAAACGGTATTTTTACAAGAGCTATTCATGGAGGATTTGAACCCCAAGATGAATCCACTTGGCCCGTTATGCCTTCGATAGTAGTGTCCGCTGTATTTGAACAAGAAACTCCAGGACGTGATAGAGTAAGTATCTGGATATCTGTAGATGCTGATGACCAAATGTCATGGAGGGTAATATTAATTGAATCAATTATAATATTTGTTTGTGAGCTCATTTCTTACAGCTAAAACTCATTTAGTCATAATTTTTATTGTTTCGTGAAGTATGTATGAATTTGTATTTTTATTTTTACCAGGAATTTAGATATTCACGCATTCGAAATCCAACAAGGACGGTATTAGAAAAATCTCTGGCTGAAATAGAGAATGCAAAATATGCCCTGTGTTTCTCATCAGGTTTAGGAGCTGCAACAACAATTATTAGTCTATTAAGTTCAGGAGATCACATAATTGCAGGGGAAGAGCTTTATGGTGGAACGTACAGACTATTCAAAGAGGTAACGAACAAAAACTTTTAACATTTCCTAGCAGTAACTTTGATTTCTTTATGTTTTTGTTTCTGATAGTGGAGGTGGTGCAGTGATAGAGATAAATGTGTTTTTACATTCGTATATGCATATTTGGTTTGAAAGATTTTTTCCTATTTTAGGTCTCAACTGATGATTCTTACGATTTTTGTAAAATTCATTATTTAACAATTTTGTGCAGATTTTCCCGAGAATGGGTATGCAAACAACGTTTGTTGATACTCGGGATCCGAAAAATATTGAAAATGCGATGACTGAGAAAACAAAACTTGTATGGATTGAAACTCCTACAAATCCCATTCTGAGAATTACCGACATTAAAAGTGTGTCAGAAGTTGTTCACAAGCAAGAAGGAGTACTTCTAGTGGTAGACAACACATTTCAAACTCCTTATTTTCAGGTAAGTAATTTATTCTCCGAAAGATAGAACACTCTTATGTAATACGAGTTATGCAACAATTGATAAGATTGTATTTTACTTCGTAGATATTTAAGTTATTTAACTCTTTGTTATTTACATAATTTACGTTATTTTTCTTCCAAGTCCACATCTCTACTGTTCGTTTTATAATTCATTACATGGTAGATGCTGAACACTCAATTCATTAGCATTTCTCTAACGTTTGAAACAGATAAGCTTTTTGTTCCGTAGGTAGAGGCTGACGAGCCTCTAATATGTTTTCGATATTCTGTAAAGTTGAGCCACTTGTATCTTATTGTTTCTAACGACAACACGATTCGATAGAATTATCCAGCTTTGGAACGATTAATATGAAAAAACCAAGCCGTGATTTAAGGTATGATTACTAAACCTACAAAATAATGTCAAAAATTGTCTTTGTTCGACGAAACATGTATTGCAAAGAGATGCAAATGAAGGTGAAATCGTAGAGATTCAGTTCGAAAGCTAGATTAACGTGAGAGTTGGAAGTTTAATGTGTACGTATTGTATGTACGGAGGAGGGAGTATGGATTCCGACAAGTGTATTCTCGCCGCAGTGGCCGATAATGTAAGGAAAATTTCAGGCAAGCATTTCAAGCTTCTGATATTTCCATGAGCCAGGTAAAAAGGTCTGTACATCGGTGGATTCAGAATATTTCTGTATATCAATCACCATCTATCCGAGAGCATGAAATAAGTAATTTTGCTCTAAACCCCCGATTCGACCAGTGTTGAATAACCTCCATCATGTAACAATTTGTTTTCGTGAACCGAAATTCATAAAATGGAGCACGCACTGTTCACTTTTACAAATATGAGATGTATTAAAATAAATATTACAAACCTCTAGGCCAGGTACAGGGTCGGAGATCTGTCTTTGCGCATGTGGTGGGAAATTACCTTTACACGTGACTTTTGCTAATGTGTGCTAGACAACCCGTCGTACATGGATGTTCGGCAGTTACAAGAAAAACATTTGGCTCAGAACATTAACTACTTAATACCAATACACGATGAGTTGCCTGCCAATCAGGAATATGTATCACATATGTCATTTCCTGATATGCAATTTCCCTCATGATCATTAGGAAATGATGTTAATCTTACAAGCCATAGACGTTTGTCACTTTTATTTTGAGACAATTGTATATAAGTTTCTGTTTATAAGTATATAAGCAGAAACTATTTCTTAACTTGAAGCTTTAAATAATCAATTATTTATTTTTGAACATTAACGAAATATATTACATTAGCATTCGAAAAATTAGTTTAATATATATGATACAATTCACAAATTTTCCAATTTGTGTGAGTTTAACCCTTGGAAACAATTAATATGCATTTAAACATAATTTTTATTCGATTTTATGACGCATTATAAATGACCATTTAAGAACCGATATATCTCATTTGTTTACTGTTGTTTATATTGTGAAATCCAAAATACGATAAACTCTTGGTTTTGAAAACTGTGGCTTAGAAAAAATGGCAAAGAAAACTTCCATTTGGAATGTCAGTTGATGCCAATCTTCATTTGTAAATTATGTTAATCTACTTTTATTCTGTTCGTTTTTCTGCGGAACTTTAAGCTAAATTTAAGTTAACACTACACTAGACCTCTCGCCCTATCTAGATTCGATAACACTCAGAAACCAACCCGGCTCCCGAGAAGCCAGCATCAACCACAAGCCGCAAGGGCTTCTTGGCGACGTACGTTTGTTTGCTACAAATTGAGAGTGCAGCATCCATTTGTTGACTGTAGACTATATTAATACTCTGGCCACAATTGAAATGATTACTTGAAAAAATTTGTATTCTCATGGAATTATAATACGATGGATCGATTTCCGAATCATAGACAATAAACTATACAAACCAATTTATACATAGTGCATATGCTTTGAATACACAAGTTCAGAAATGAAAAAGTATAACTAAGTCTTAGAAAGATCATTTACAAATGAAATACATTTTGAAAATTATTTCCTGGAAAAGTATTTTCGGAAAAGGGTTGAAAACGTCGTGTATATTTTTTCATAGTAATGTATGTCATTGTTCCAAAGTATTAATCAAGTGGTAAAATTTTGTAAAGATATTAAACCTTTCTAAAGTATAATTTCAATACATTTAATTAGCATTAATTATACAATTCTACATTGTTTGGCTAAGAAATAATATCGACTTCTGTTTTATGCAGAGACCACTCGAATTAGGAGCTGACATTTCTATGTATTCTTTAACAAAGTATATGAATGGACATAATGATTGCATAATGGGCTCTATTTCTACCAACCAAGAAAGTATATATGAAAAGTTACACTTTCTTCAACATGGTAATGATTACATGTTCAGTGCAAATGTAATCAGTCTCAAGTTAAATCGCATTATTAAACTTCTTACTTCCCCTGAAACAAATTGACGTATTCTTTTTTGTATAGCATTGGGCATAATTCCATCACCGCATGACTGCCATCAACTATACCGAAGTTTGAAAACTCTTCCATTAAGAATGGAGCAGCATATGAAAAACGGTTTAGCATTAGCCAAATACCTAGAAAAACAACCACAAGTTGAAAAAGTGATATATGCAGGTGAGAAAGAGAAAAGTGTGTAATTTGATATTTAGGTCACTAAAAAATGCAGTGTAGTCTAATATTTTATTACTAGGGGGCGGATTTTGATAACCTAAACCATTGCCAAAAAATTATCAATACAATCCGCTTAAATGCTTTAAAATAACTTAAAACAAAGAAAAATGGCATAAAAAATTTGATCATAACCCCTTCCGATTAACAACTCACTCTATTGGATATGATACTGATGTAATCGAGGCTTCTTCCTATTGTATCAAATGAACTCAGCTTGCAAACTTCAGATTTGAACTGTTCTTTAGAAGAAAATCTCTGTCTTTATTTATTGCGAACTCACAATGGCGCTGATAAACGTCACAGGAACCATAGATTACAAAGTACTCACAACGACTGGCATTACAATATACGAGAGAAGAAATCGAATACGCTACTCAAACGTTCTGTGGTGAACATTTGTTGCACCTGTTATATTATTTGAAGCAAGCAAGTAACATTAAAATGATATTAAAATTACTGAAATCAGAAAACTGCAGTAACAATTATGTAAAAAGTTAAAAAATAATTTATTAGTCGAAATCGATGAGAAATGCAAAAAAATGACATGTAAAAAAGGATCATTTCGTTTCGTTATAACGAATGATTTTCATTAAAATCCGCCCCCTATTGATTTTTTAATGATATAAACCGGTGTTGGCAGTGTATTAATTTACGCTTCGCCCGGAAATAGAGCAAAGTATCACGTGTTCCATACAAAAATATTTTTTTAAATTCTTGAACATTTTTGTAAACATATAGTGTACAAAATACTGAATTCAATTAGAGAAGTGCCATTTTCATTAAAATATTTCAATTTTAATATTAAAAAACAACATGTTTTTGAGTCTCTCGGTAGTGGTTTCATTAAGAATGTTTCAGGAGAATAGTTAAATCCTGGTACAACAGAAGTTGCAACATTGTAATATTAAGTAATCGTTACATTCAATACAACCAAATATAAACTATTGTGACACCACTAGTTTTCTTTCATGTAAAACAATATATAATTTGGGTAATATTTTGGAAAGTAACATGAAAAGTCAAGAGATGCAGTTGTTTGCGTTTTTTTTTCAAAATATTGCATTTTCACAATTATTCTTTATTTGTACTTATATTTTATATTTTAACAATAGGTATTCCATAAAAATTGTCGAAATTTTGAAGGAGTGGAGTATTTGAAATTTTTGAGGTGAGCATACACGTTTCTAGTTGCGTCGTTATGAAAGTGTTCTTTGTATTCATCCATTATCGTTTACGAACAGAACAAGGGAGAGGCAATCGCGCTCGAAAAGTAGAATTTGAATGATGATGATGATGATGATGATGATGATAATGATGATGATGGTTACGGTGTTGCGAATTACAGAAATATTAACAAACACGATATTTTGGACACTCTAGGTTTGACATCTCATCCACAACATGATTTAGTGAAGAAGCAGTGTTATGGAACAAGTGGAATGCTTTCTTTTTACATTAAAGGAGATTTCAATGAAACGAAAAAATTCATTAAAGCTCTAAATATAATTAAATATACTGGAAGTTTGGGTGGAGTTGCAACAACTGTCGTTATGCCGTGAGTATCAAGAGTTACTGATTACTTTAAAAAAGTTATTTATCATTATAATTCAAAACAATCAATACTGTACAGGAGAGGAAGGAGGAGAACTAGTATAATTTGCGCACGTTTTCTTGAGCTGTAGGTTTTCTGCCCCACTGTTGTACTATACATAGTTAAATTATGAATAAAAGTATCAATACACATGGTTGGCAACATTTAAGAAAAACTAGAAATTTTCGATCCCAAATTACAGAAAAGAATAAAAATGTAATAGAATACGAAAATCCACAATCCACAAAAAAATTTTTGACTTAAAATACTGGCGTGAATATACACATTTTTATTTGTAGACAGTTTGATGGATTATGTAAATCTTTTGTATCATGGATATTTTTCTTCTTATTATTTATTTTAATTGTATACTAGCGGAACCCGACAGACGATCTGCCATTCATCTCCCTCTTTCTCCTTCCCATCCCCTTTCTCTCTTCGTCTCTTTGTCTCTTTTCTCGTCACTTCCTCTTTCAGTCTCCCATTCTCTCCGACTCTCTCTTCCTCTCTGTCTCAGTCCGTCTGACTCTGTCTCTGGGTCTCTCTCTCTCTCTCTCTCTCTCTCTCTCTCTCTCTCTGGGTCCCTCTCATACACTTTTAGTTGCAGATTCTGCTCGTCTCTGAGTAGGTGGGGGTTATATCGAGAAGCACCGAAATGTAATAGAACGTTTACTAAGATCCCATGCTGAGGCCTTAATATTTTAGTTTTTATTTTCCTAGAACGCTTCGTTTAGGAGATATTTAACGATAGAGAGTCAAAAATACCGGCGAGTGTTGCGGGTTACATTTAACATGAATACTTAGTTTTGCTTTTTATTCTTATTTTGTTAATTTTTCCGATATTTTATTAGTTATTCTGCTATTCGAGACGGAGATGGATGCAACAAATCAGGGATAATTAAAATTGGTGCAGCCATTCTTGAGTTATAAATGCTGTAACTAACCCGACTTTGTTTTACTTATTTAGATAATTAAAATTACATTATTTTTTGTTGTTTATTATCTGTCTATTGTATCAAAAATAAACTTGATCTGATAATTCTGATAATTACTTATTACAGGTCTTATATGAGCCACGTTATGTTGTCAAATGAAGAGAAGATTAAACTTGGAATAACAGACAACTTGATCCGCGTGACTGTTGGTTTGGAATCGATAGACGACATCATAGCAGACTTTGATCAAGCATTCAAACATCTTCTCAACTCGAAATAAAATTATATCTCTCATATCAATCTCTATTAACAAATTGTCAGTAAATAAGCTCAAACATTCAAGCAAGTTGTAAACATAAAAAATTTAAAATAATATCTTTCCGTCTTATTATCTCTATCGCTCTTCCCACACTTACCTCATCCTCTGCATCACGTACGTGAAACATGTATAACATACAATTAATTTCTTGTGAGAAATTCTTCTACTTGTACTACTGTTACATGTTTTCTAAGCGTCATTTTTCGTCGAACAAAATATAATCTAGCAGGTATCTTTGGAGGCTACTGTAGAAAGCGATTCTCTAATGATTATCAATTTCTTCCATCACAGTTCTTATGTCTGATTTTTATTGTCTAGCTGAGTGATTCGTGATGTATATCAATGTTGTTTATTAGATGTCAAACAAATTAGAACCACTTTTCCATATTGTACTGTAAAAAGACAAATTCACTCACGTCTTTCGCAACAAACATTTGCGAAGTAAGGCGACAAAACGGTCCATCATACGATGATCGCGGACGAACAAGCCCGTTTGGCCAGAGGGAGGATGATGTGAACAAATGCGGCGGCGATGATGTAACGGTTAGCGTATCGGACTGTCGTACCCAAGTTCAAACCCGATCGAAGCAGTGAATTTAAAAAAATGCATGTTGACATCTTTCACGGGGTTTACATTATAATTTCCACTGTGTTTGCATTATAATGTAGAATGCGCACTAAATTTACCCTAAGCGTTGCGATCTCTCTGGTTTACAATGGTTCGGCATGCCGATGTAAAGTGACAAAGTTACGGTCCATCACAACCCGAGAGTGAGCGCACCGCACTGGGGGCTATCGAAACGGCGCGAAAGAAAGCGACGGAGGCTTGTCTTCCATCCCACCAACTCTGCATCAGTGACTGTGGAGAAAAAAGTAATGTAATGCAAGGCGTTTGTGAACGCTGTGCATTGCGGAATAATAAAAGCTTTCATTAAAATTACGTCAAACATCAGTTTCCTCTAAATCCAAGGTAAGTGGATCTTCATTTCCCAGGCCAAGCTACAACCCAGGGTCATACAGCCTCCAGAGTTCAAGCAGCGCTCGGATGTGAGAGTGATTCCACCTCCTGACTGAGCGTTTCCGGCGACTGGAGTTCGGCGGGAGGTCACATCTCGAAAGTACCTTAGGGGCTGCATATGTGGCTACAAAGGATTTACAGTAGTGTTAGATACACTTACGAATATTCTTCATTACAGAGCGTGACATTCATTTTTTGTGGAATGAATAGACAAGTTTAATGTATCTTTGTAGGCGAGAAGTTGCTTAAGATCGTACACTGTTTCGAAGGAGTTCCCTGCGCAATCTGTCTTATGACTCACAAATATTATTGGCATAGTCATATCTGTATTGTTAAATTATAAAATAAACCTTCCAATTTGAATAAGAATAATTTAACTTCTACCGAAGAAATTATGTATTTATAAAGAATTTGTCATTTACGATACACTATCTGAAGTCAATCAAATTCTGCAACTTTGCTCGCCAGGAGATATCACTTGTATCAACTATGTCACGTCAAAATAACCCCTTAAAATCGCATCTAAAATAGTGAAGCCGGCCTTGAAGATCATTAAGGAGTAAAATATATACGCGTTTAAAATTATATTTATGAGACATTTGTAGTAATATACAATTACACTGGAGTGCAGCTCAATTGCATATGCAGGCTTTTATTATACAGAAGCATTTATTTTCTGTTACCAAGTTGTGTCAAAAATTATCGTTGCAACCTTTATTCTTAATTCTGTTTAGTATAGTTTAAGAACGAAGGAACAATTCCAGAGCTCAAGCATGCATACCGAAATTCCCCCTTTATCTAATACCACTAAATACCCCGGTTTAACTGTTTTATGACTTTATATAATTTCCCTTTATAATCCATTCTAGATAAAAAATGCTAAGAAAAGATAATGATTTTGTACCATTTATGAGTAACCGTCAACACAAAATACCCTAAGTATGCTGCTGTTAAATGAAGAAATTGTCCCTAGCATTTTGCATCCGAATTACACAAGAAGAAAAATAGAAGTTCGCAGATGTGATATAAGGTCAAGAGTAGGCGCTCACGAAACCCACAACAAACGTTTACTATTTAGTAACTCCGAAACGGTGGATTCCTCGCACTACCGATTGTCGAAAAGTTCAAAGTTGGGTTACAGTAATAAACTGTTTTAAATTTAAAAATAATTATTTAAAAACAGATTACTTTGATTTGGGCAACAAATAAATAGGAAATTGAATTTCTTCACCCGAGTGAGAAAAAATATTTCAAACATATGAGCGGTAGAAGTCATCAGCTTACAACTTTTTCAACTTTGGATAGCCATGGTTTCTGCAAGAGCATTCTGAGGTAGTTGTACAGTATTAATAATGTTAGATGTATCAAGAAGGTTTTTTGTTAACAAATGAACATCATTTTGCAGACGAATTTTAATGTAGTATAATTGCGAGTACGTTACACATTATTGTATTACTTTACATTGTATTGTTTTGTGATATTTTATGTTGTTCATTATCTTTGATTTGTGAGGGTTTCCCAGATTGGGAATTTTTCAAAGGGCGGGTTTTACGACCTTCACAGAGACAATGGGAGGAGTGAATGGAAAAACTCTCCAATGATCTAATAGAAGTTCTGGGGTTGGCCAATCAACCTTGTTCACTCTAAGTGCTATAAGCATCGACCGGGATTTGAACACAGGCATACAAAGATGCAAACCTAGAGCCATTTCATTATGTTTTGAGTCAACCCGATCATTCACATACGTACAAGTATATTTAAAAAAACGCGTATTATCATACCTTTAAAAATTAACGACTCTCATATTCACACTTAAAAACAGAAAGCCACGTATTATTTCCTGAGCATCCTAAAAATTCGTACACCTCTCTCCACATAAAATCAGACACATGCATGAGTGGATGGATGAGATGGAGGTGGGATGTTAGGAGGCGGAGGAGAAGAGCTACATTTACTGTCGAGGAATAAGGTAATCTCAGCATTTGCTTAATAAATCAAGGGGAACAGGACGAAAAAGCCAATCGAGAGACTGTCACAGGTTCAAAACTAACCGAAGTTATAGTCTTTTACAATCACACAATATTTAAAAATACTAAACCATCAATGTAACATTAATGAAGACATAATTGTAGTTTTTATAGTCTAACATATAAAAAGTATTATTATTATTATTATTATTATTATTATTATTATTATTATTATTATTATTATTATTATTATTCCTCTCTTTCACGACTAAAGGTATTATGAGTTGCTTGAATATAAAATCTACCGCAGGTTGCAACCAGCTTCCTAAGGAGCAGATCTAGAGTGTTGGTGCCTCTGCAGTACTTGCAATACTGCGTAAAATTTGGGCTGTTCCCAATACAGTGATGTCATGCACTTACAGGTCTTATGAATGACCCGGCAGTTTAGCCAAGTTCTTAAACAAATTTTGTGGAATAAATCCCAGAACTCCGATAACTATCGAGACAACTTGTGCATTTACGCCCCACATGCAGCTGACCTCGATTTCCAAACTCTTGTGTTTAAGATGGTTCTCTGCCTCCTTGGTTACGACGTTTTTATCACATGACAGCAATATTTGCTAGACGCCACGTTTTTTCTCGAAATCTGGATAACAATATCCGATTTGTTTGCCGCTATCGTGCGATCAGTATGAATCTGTTGGCCGTACGATATTGTACACGGTCCAACAGACGACACCGGTTTTCGTGAGTGTTCGTGACACTTGGAGCATGTATTTGGAAGTTCGAGGGCGTTGCAGATTTTTCACAACACACCCTATCGTGTGTTTTCAAGTATTCAATCTTTGCTGGAATCGGACAAGCTGATACAATATGATCAATGATTTCTACTTGTTCCTGACAAATGCAACATTTATCATCTTGGTAAATTTTGAGAACATTATCATAATGTCGTGATCTCAGGTCAACTCTCTCTCTCGTGTACTTAGGCAGCTATTACAACTGATTTCTTTTTTGGCTTCACCATCACTTTTTTGGCCCATTTTAAGCCGCATAAATTATTGATCTGAACATTGACCATTCTTTTTAGACATTGTTCATGGAATGGTTTGTTTCCTCACGATATATTTAACGTTTTTTGAATGGAACATTTCATGTTAATTAGCAACAGAGGTTCAGTGTCTATGTTATTCACCTTATATTTCATAGTTTTTGCAACAATGCGTCTAGCTCATAATGCCTCTGTTTCCCATTCGTCGGTCAGATTTAATGACCAGCCCCATTAATGGATCATTTTGATAACTGACCACTACTATTCCCTTCACGACTATTGCATTGTTCCAGGAGGCTTCAATTTGTCTGAAACCTCTTCCCCCTTCCTTACATGACACATACATCTATGTACATCAGGTCGAGGGTGTGCGACATGATGCATTGTGTGATGTTTTCTGTTTTTTCGATCCATGTTTCGAATTACTTCCTCAGTCCCGTCCACTAGGCCGAAACTGTCTTCAGGTACAGGCACCGCCAAACTACCTAAGACAAGTATTGTATCCCTAGATTTCGGAGCGGTCTGCAGGTCAAGTCTCACACTTCTGTAATACTTCCTGCAACGTTTTTCCAGGCTCAAGATCTTGATTCTACGTTTGTATATCATCGTCAATGCTCTCGGGCGTCACTTCGGCTCTCTTTAAATTGATTATTTACATTGTCGACAGACAGATTTTGGGAGAGAATAGCTTCATTCTAAGCAAACACTTCCAGAGCATCAATTAACAACAAATGTGATACTGGTATTTCATCACAATGGAGCTTGCATGCAAAGTCAGTGTGCGACAACTGTCGCTAGATGGTGGAAAGAAGCTAATGCAAAACAGCAGAAGGGATAGATAGCCAAACTTCTTGAAGAAATTACCCGTTAATTTATTATTATTGTTATTACTATTATTATTATTACTATTATTATTATTATTATTATTATTATTATTCTCTAATTTTGTCACATAAGGCTTTTCCTGGCATATCAACTTGTATATTGACATCAAGTGTTACACATAAGTTAAAATGTCAATTGAATTTCAATGTCAAGTCTTTCGTGTTGTATAACTGTTTTTACAAAAATAGATATTATTCTGACTTGCATGTATGAAGTAAGAGTGGCAGCAAAAACAAGCAGCTGTGGGGTGAAGCAACCTTGAACCAGCTCCATGACAGATGCTGGTCATTGTATACAAGGCTTACTAGACATTAATAAACTAACGTTTTTATTTTCCGCGATAAGATGTTGCCACATCGGAATGCTCTATCTCGCTCTCCGTGGCTGAGCATTGGAACCCGCGAAAGCAGCAAGTACGCTCGACCCATCTAGTTACGTTTCTACCGAAGTTGTGGTTGAATACACCTATCCCGAGGAAAATAACTGGTGAGTGCAAACCAGAGCTATTATGCCTATATTTACATAACCCGTATTAATTCAGGTAGGTTAATGCGGGAGACTGAAGGGAGTAAAAATATATTTTCTTGAAAAATGGATAGCTGTATTATGCAACAATATATTAGAAACAAAATAAATATTTTTAAAAAATTGTATTTCGCTTTGATACGCATCTGTTATTTGACAACATATAATGAGTACTGATTCAGCTGCCTAGTATTTCTTGTTTACGAAAATGTTTCGTAACGGCGCGGTTTCCATGACCGCAAGAATTTGTGAAAAATGAGCCTCGTGATGTATACTAGAGTATTATCTTTGCAAGAAACCCCAACAGTACATTAACGTCTGATATACTCGCGTAAGCTCATTTATTGTGTTTGTTCGTGCTGTACAGCTCTCCTATAAAATAAATTGCATTGAGAAATGAGGAAAAATCTCAAATTTTTTTAGATCTTTTTTTTCAATTTTTAACGTGACTAATGTTTCAGAAATGTAATCTAATCTGTTTCGTGATCATCTACGAGTTCAATTTATCATTGAATTCGAATTGACACAGACGTACTGGCACTGCACAGAGAAAATGGCAAAATAAGATCACTTGCAAAAAATTGTTAACAATATGTACGAACAAAAAAGTGTTTTAAGACGTTCAGGAAATGGAGAAGAATAAGACTGCAGTCAGTGGTATAAATTTGATTTTACGTTTAGACAATGATTTGTCGTAAGGTCTACAATATTGAAATGTAGGATCCAACTAAATTCCCAATAACAATTGAAGTGTTATTACTTTTAATATTCAGTGAAGGTCAGTTTATTAAATAAAAAAATTATATAAACGTCATTGACGTTAAATGTTTGTTTTATGGATACAGCCATGTCGGAAGAAGGATATCTGAAACGAAAAAACGACATTTTCACAAAAGCTACACATGGAGGATTTGATCCTGAACAAGAATCAACTTGGCCGCTTGTACCTTCTATTGCTGTTACCACATCTTTTGAACAAATAGAACCAGGAGAACATAGGGCAAGTATATCAATTTTTATAACAAAAAGATGGAAATGTGCTTTTCTTTCTTTTTTCTTCTAACCCACTGTAACCCAAAGCAGGTGGTTCCTGCAGTACATAATTGTACAAATGGTAAAAAGATGAAAATGCATTTGCCTCTCGTGGCTTTTTGAAATAAAAATCGCCAAAAAAAAAGTAATTGATACAAAAAAATCTGTAAGATTATGTGATTTGTATGCCATCGTGTTAGCTATTTTCGACAACAAGGAGATTCTCTTAATAAGTTATTTATAACACACCAATGTAATGGCGTAGACTGGTACCCCGAGTAATATTATCGCTGTAAATGATTATGACAAAGAATAGTGAAACATCTCAGTAATGTGACTGTTCTAATTGGTATTAAAATTATGATACATGTAATTGTGAACGAAATAATAAAGTAAACATTAGTCTCTATTTTCGACTTTATTAAAATTTCATTATTTTAATCAACTGTGAAACGGATTGAGGGAAATAATAATTAATGGCATAAGGGAGTAAAATATTTTTACTTTCGATTGCCTACCTTATTTTATCCATTACTACATTTTGAAGATTTTATCACATATTTAAGATTTTATCACACTCCATGCGATTACATAATACAAAAGGAAGAGCTGTAGAAAAGTTTTAACTGAAATGTACAGTTATGTATCCACTTTATGGAAAATCAAAAACATAAAAATATTGTTTCATGTCGCTCAGTGTTTATACTTCTAGACTAATGAAATGACCAATTAGCCACTCTTCATTGGGAACGCAGACTTAAATATGTTTCTGAACATGTTTTATGTTATCAAGATGTGTTCATGTACACGTATGTGCATGGTTGTTTTATGTTCTCCATAACAGGAAATCTTGCCATTCACCTTAACTGAAACATGTTTTTGCATTTATTATTATTATTATTATTATTATTATTATTATTATTATTATTATTATTATTATTATTATTGCCACTACTACTACTATTATTATTTTCGAAAAAGTACGCATGTGTCAGACATTTGCTCAATGTCCATTTTAAATACACTCACATTCAAAGGCATGTAAAAACACCAATCTTCCAAATTAAAACCTCGCTCTCTTCGCTTCTATAACTACAATCTCACTCACACAACAGAAAACGAAACGACTGTTTTGAAATGAAACAATAGCTCGATTGCATTTCGTGCCTCAATTCCAAGTTCAATTTTTGTCGGGTTTTGAAAATGATGTAACGAACAAATGACGATAGATAAGTGTTCAATGAATTAATTTTAAGACATTATTAATATATAATTTTCATATAAAAAGTCGGTCAATAAAAGTAATAACACATCTAGGACTCATTGCCTTTCATTAAAAACAATCGAAATCTGACTGAATAGTAAGCTAAAACTTTTTTGTTAATGAAAATACTTGTATAGATAGCTCTAAAGGAAGTCGCCATTTCATTGCTTGGTGTTTCGTTGTCAGAGACACATACAAATGTACTAACTGTATTATATTTCGAAACAGTTAATTATATCTCCTAATAGTTAAATTAAATCTTTTAATTTTAAATATGACTGAAGTATAGATTTAGTCACAATTTCGAATTTACAGTAACATTTTCTTAAAAACGGCTCCAAATTTTTCAAAGAAAATTTCCATATAGGGCGATGTTTCACTGTTCTATAATATTCTTAGAGCCATGTTTCAATTCTACGACTAGGGGATCAAAGAACTGAGAAAATTTCAAGAAAATATCATTTTGCAGCGATAGATAGCTGGTAGCCACAGGATGCGGCTAGATCGAAAAATCTACCTGAGACCAAAGAAATTACAAAATAAATAACTAGAACGAGAATGTCTGTGTCATTCTGTAGCACCACTAGTTTCCTATACTAAAGCAGATCTTTATGATCATTGGGATTAAACAGGTTAATCCCAATGAACCCATTTAATACTGGAGGAATTAAAGTAACAGCAAAAAAGAAAACAATGCCTGTAATGGATAAAATAGATTTAAAATGTGATTCTGTTTTTTTCTGGTTAAAATAAATGATAAATGTCCAGATAAAATTCTTGAAAATGAGACGCCGGTGGCCAAAAACAATTTTTTATTGGTGTCAAAACACTGCACTCACTTAAGACTTATCTCTCAATTACGTAACAAATAAATAGGAGAGATATGTATTGACAATACTACAACACTGTTTTTCGGACCGCCGAGATCGTTAAGGCAGAAGTGCGGAAGCGATCTCGGACTAAAAGATCGCGGGTTCGAGTTCCGCCTCTGGCATTGCACCATATCATGGTATTTTTACAGTTACCATAACTTTCAATCCAATAGTGGTCGCTAAAGACCTAGATGTTGATGCGACCATAAATAACAAAAAAATATCACCATACTATAACACTTTTTTAAAATAAGAAAATAATGCTAAGGAACTCATAATAATGGGCGACCATGAATGATTTAACGCTAAAGAGGGATGGAGGCGGTTTAAGGCAGCGTTATGCTGCGTTACATAGGAGTATGTGGGGGTTATTGTTTAGTGTTTCATAATGCTGACTTTTAAAAAAAATTCAACATTTCCTGAAATAATTTCTTTTATTCAGTCTTATAGTAAAATATTAAAATAATAACATTAATTTAAAAATATAAATCAATTTAAGTTACGAGGCATACATTTTTACAATAAATGGAATTATTTTTCGTCAATTGTGTACTCATTGAATCTGTTAGATTAGGAAGAAAATATTCTAAACTAATCTGTAGTATATTCTAGAATCCAATTAAGTGACACAGTAGACTCGGGGTCTATGTTGCATTCACGTCGGCGGCTTGTGCATTGCTTGTCAGAAATTGTCGCCTTCACGTCCTTCCTTCATTCAAAGTTTGTCCCCAATCTTATTGTTAGATGCAGTTCCGCATCGCCAACTAATTTTGACTTTTTTCTTTTCTTCTTCTTCTTCTTTTTCTTCTTCGTCTTCTTCTTCTTCTTCTTCACTTTACAGGTTAGGCGACCTCACAGTCTCTTCCGTCCTCACTGTCTCTCTCCATCTTTTCCTTGGTCTTCATGCATCTCTTCTTCGTTCTGGTGCTTAACACAAAACTGCCTTTGGAAGTGTATTATCAACCATTTTCTCTACATGTTTTAGCCATTCAGCTAATTTGGACTTCAATTATCATACATTTTAATATATTACACAAAAATAAAATTAATACAACTCATTGCAGATGCTTTGTAAATTATTTTCGTGTGTTGTAAATAAGAGGATCTTGTCGCAAACGTTCCGAAGTAATTTAAGCGGGTTAAAGCGCGTGCTACAGGTGCGTTACAAGGGGGATAGGGATGCTTAGGATGCTCCAAATTAGGGTTAAGTAATATATGTACGCCCCCTAAATAAGGTTTAATCAGTTCAAATAAATGTTAATGAATTACTCAATAAAGTATGGAATACAACGCTGAAAAATGGTTCATAAGCAGAAAAAAATTAAGTACGTTTTTAAAATATATATGATCAGAATTATATCATTGTCCCGATATCTTTAATTGAATCTTCTTTCCAAATTTTAGCATTTCATATACACAAGACTCAGAAATCCAACAAGACAAGTACTGGAGAAATGTCTTGCTGAATTAGACAATGCAAAATATTCGTTATGTTATTCATCAGGCTTAGGAGCAACAACAGCCATTGCGAGCATACTAAGTGCTGGAGATCATATCATTGCTGGAGATGAGATGTATGGGGGAACAGCAAGGTTATTTAAAGAGGTAACAATTTTTCATTTGACATTTTGCCCTATTTTATTGAATGATTTGTTTTTTGTTGGAGCTCAAATATAATTATTATTTCATCTTTTCTAAATGGTTTGTTTCAGGTATTTGGGAAGTTTAAAGTTGAAACAACTATAGTGGACACCCGAGACACTAAAAACATCGAAAATGCTATAAAATCCAACACAAAACTTGTGTGGGTAGAAACTCCAACAAATCCCCTTCTCAAAGTCGTAGACATAGCTAAAGTAGCAGACATTGTTCATAAACACAAAGATATCATTTTAGTTGTTGATAATTCTTTTATGACACCATATTTTCAGGTGAGTAAATAATAGGTTAAATTATTCATTTTGCTTCATTCTATTTATTTTTTGAGGGGAATTGGCTATTTCACTAGTCAGAATCTCATCTAGTTCAATTTTTCAAAATGTAAGTCCACTATCAATTCATGATAGTATTGTATTATCGTTGATAATGTAAGTAATGCACTTATTTTCCCTCTAGCAACCTCTAAACTTGGGAGCTGATGTATCAATGCATTCCCTGTCCAAATATATGAATGGTCACATTGATGTGGTTATGGGAGCTATTTCTACAAATGATTTTGATTTATATGAAAAATTACGATACAATCAACATGGTAATTATTTAATATCTACCTTAATGTATAAAAATGTTTGGGCATAGGGTTTGTATATTCTTGGAGGTATGCTTATGTGACTTTTTATTCCACAATTACTTTCAAACCACAGGAACAATTGCTATCAAATTTTGCAAGATTCGCGACCCCAAACGGTTGCCCGAATGTGGCTGAGTTAGCTCAGGAGCAGCGTTGCCGTCGCCTCTACATCGTCTCTTAGCAGTAGGCTCTGGGTTTCGAGACTCAACGGTGGCGGATTTTCGAAACTAGCTATACCAGTACTTGGTCGGTAATAAGTCGATTTCACCTTCTCTCTTTCGGTGGTTATTCTTTTTAGATGGTTCGGAAGAAAATTCTCATCGACTGGCTGCCCTGATCGGTGGTTTTCTGTCCATCAATACCGAACGAATGCTCGAGCACCTTCAGCCGAGCCGTGGCCCGTGCGATCTGTCTTTCTTCTCCCTTGTCACATCCTCTTCTCTTACTCACTACCACATAGGTGACGAGAACTTGAGGCTGCCCCAGGTGGGGCGGTGCCCCGCTGAAGGAGATATCTCGATGGGGAAATCCCCGCCCTGTTTCCCCCAAAAGGCGTGGATTTGCCTATTGAGGTATCTCCTAGATCGGCGACTTATCTCGCCAACCAGCGTGTTAAGAACACCACCCACGATAAAAAAAAATAACGATAACACTGCATTAACGGGAGTCATTCTCATAGCAGTTCGGAAATATCAATCGATTTTATCCAAAATTTGGTTACACCTCAAAATTTGTGTTACTGAAAATCAGCAATGCGGCGAATTGTTGCAGTACTACCGGATGGCAGTAGTGTTGCTAGGTTTTGCAAGGCGCGACTGATCGGGGGCGGGCAGAGCGGAACGAGAGGTGCGGCCAGAGCCTCACGCGAGGGCAGAGTGGGCAGAGTGAGCAGGGAGGAGAAGGGAGGCCGAAAAGGGAAGGTTGTTATATCCAGCGGTGATTCAGGGATTGATCCAACACCAAACTGGTACATTTTTCTTGCATTCTCACATGCCTTTCTTTCACTATGTAAGTTAAGTTTTTGCCGTGGAGCGCGCACAGTACCATTTTTTCACATTTATTAAGAATAATCTTCATCACACATGATTTTTTGCTATTTACAGGGGAACCTCTCAGCTTTAAAGGTGCTTACCACGAACACTATAGAACACAATACTTATAAAGAATGAAAATGACAACTTTTTTTTATTGATTTGTTAAATTGATTTTTGTGGTAAATAAATACTCGGTAAATGTTGGGTAATCTACTAGCATTTATATATGTCTTCAATCTAAATTAATTTAACCTAATTAATTTTAAACAAAAAAGAATAGTTCATTTAAGTAAGTTAAGCACTTCAGAAGAACTTTATTAATGAAAAATTATTAGAATTTTCTGGAAAATATTGCAATGAACGATTTTACTTGCACTTAAGAGTTTATTGCAATTGGTTTATTGTCAGTTTATCTATTAAATGATTTTTATATTTTCTAGCAATGGGCTTATCTCCTTCTCCATTCGACTGTTACCAAGTAAATCGTAGTTTGAAGACACTTCCGTTAAGAATGGAACATCACATGAAAAGTAGCATAGCATTGGCCAAATTTCTAGAAAAACAACCAAAAATTGAAAAAGTAATTCATCCAGGTGAGGTGAATGAATAGTATTGTTTCAATGACAATTTTACAGAGCATGAAATACTTTATTTTAATTTCAATAGGTTTGCCATCGCATCCGCAACATGACTTAATGAAGAAGCAATGCTTTGGAACAAGTGGTATGATATCTTTTTACATAAAAGGTGGATTAAAAGAAACAAAGTTGTTTATCAAATCATTGAAATTGATTAAATTTGCTCCAAGTTTTGGTGGTTATACAACAACGTTATTAGTACCGTAAGTACTATTTGTAAAATAGTAATTTACTGCAATAGTATGTATAATTTGATTCTGTCAATGAAAAATTTCTTTTAGGTCTCTTATGACCCACACAACGCTGCCTGAAAAAGTCAAACTTGAATATGGAATTACTGACAATTTAATTCGCATGACAGTGGGTTTTGAATCTGTGGATGACCTCATTGCAGACGTCTCACAAGCACTCGAAATAATTAAATAATGAAAAACATTTGTTTTGTTTTTTACTCTTGCAATTGAACATATTTAATATTTGTATTACTACAAAAAATAAATTAACATATTTTCCTTAAAATTTCACGGACAAATCCTAGTCATCTCTCTTCACCCCAGACATTAGGGAAATATGGAGGAATACTGCCACCGTGCGTATTCCACCATCCATGATGTTCGGATTCCCACTGATACAAAAGTGACAAAACCCAGTGGAAGAAGGTAGGGACACTAGGATCCAGGTCGTATGTGTTTCCGTCAAGGTGTTTATGCATAGTTTCACAATACTGAAAAATAGCTGTTTCGATTCAACTTCGTTGTACGTAAGGAGCGGTAAATTAATTTAGAGATCCTCTAGGGTAGAACAAACATGTGATAAATCTATCGGGAATATCGTGTACTTTGAAATTCAGTTACATCATGTGTATGTTATGGGAGGAAATGTGCGTGTTGGGGTAATTTCGCCAGGTGGGGATATGCCTCCATGTTTTCATATTTATACAGATAATTGAACTTGTGACTCGTTTCATCCTTTGAATTAAAAAAAAAACTTTATGTATTGTGGGAAAATAAAATACTATATTTTAATCCTACAGCTACTCGTGGTGCTGTAAGTGGCCATGATGGTCCTTTTGTCATTTCTGTACGAGCAATTAGTTACTCATGACTTAAAATCGAAAATATATATTGTATATCTTAGTTTTTATTTCCTTCGATCTCCGCGATTATTGCTGCAGACGCGTGGCGAGCCTAGTCCATAACAGAAGGTAACCAAGAATTTAATGACTTATTTGGTTTTATTACTTGATTTTAATAGGTAATTATGGATAAGAGAAAGAAACGATATTATGGTGTAATTTGCCTTATTATCACAAATTGAAGATAACCAAGCTTTACGCCTTCTCCTCAAAATACAAGCTCCTTAATCCTAAAAATTAATAATCTACCATTTAATCCCCACCGCAAGGTGGATGTGGCGGTAGTATTCAAGATGTGACGGAAATCTGTGACAGGTGTTTCTCATCACTGTTTATTCTGTATAGCTCAGTTACGCTCAAATAGATTTTGGCAATATCAATACCAAATCCGTTATGTTTGTTAAATGTCGATTCTAAATGCTATTGTGTATTATTGAAAGAATACATGTTCAGTCAGGTTCAGGTATTTAATGCATTAGTAATGATGTTTAGAGAATTTGTTTTCGTTTGATATTTGGTTTATTGATTTAAAATGTACACTTGAACCATTTGTGTAAAGTTGGCAGTGCTGTAAGGAAGTCCCTTTCTGTATCTCACGATGTATTTTTTTCGTATGTATTTCCTCCTGTATCAACCTGCAGTGCAGTTGGAGACCGCTGGAGGCAATACGAGCGTATGCGTATTATATCCGCACGTTTTCTTGAACACCGGAGTATCTACCCCCACTTCTTTCCCAACATTAGTTACATTAAGAATAAATGATAGCAATGAGAGTTGTAGACAAAATCTGGTGACGAGGAATGTTCGCTCCCGTGTATTAAAATGTATTTTTGAAGGAAAAATTAACTACAAATTCGACGTAAAATTCCTTTTGTCAAAATAACCAAACTCCCTACTCCTCTCGCATCTACCGAAGCGAGGGCTCAAGAAAACGTACGCGGATAATAGAAGGATCTTTTATTATCAACAAAATATATCGGGGTAGTGAAGTTTTCGAAATAATTTTATTTCTGTAAAACATTTTGAAACAATAGTGCTTGTGGCAATGTACTAGAGTCGATCGCCGTATTTTTGAAACCAATTTTTTTGTTTTGTTTTGAGTGAATCATGTTGCCGTCAATTGTCTCAATGCAGAACTAATACAAAAACTTGTGTACCCATTGAAAATCAAATCCACAACCACGTGCGCGGAAGTTGTATATACCTGATACGGGCACTGCGCATGGAATTAAGTAATGTTTTGACTTTCATTTAACTTAGTTTTAATTAAATTACTTTAATTGCTTACATTTTATTATATATTAGTGTTTTGAATTTTGGAAATTGCATTTTCGTTACTTGTTGGAGGTGCAACCTCCAGTCTGTTGGGGCACCAGCCACCACTGACATAAAAGTAATTTTTGGAAAAAAAAAAAAAAAAAGAAAGAAAGAAAGAAAGAAAAAAACAACTTTAAATTGAACCTTTTTACTTTAAGGTACGAATTGGTACCACAAAACCCCAAAGAAAGGTGAAAGGCTAAGAATGTGGAATAACGAGATTCTGGAGGGTGTGAATAAAGAGAGTATCTAAAATATCTCCCATGCCAAAACAGGGTATTCTATGGCATCAAACTGCTCAGAATTTTTACAAGGAAGGTACGCAAAACGACAGGGCCAGACACTCAACTGATCTGGAGCATAATATTTATGGGTGCATGGCAATAAGTTATAAAGTAATGCAACTTTTGAATAGAGATGTGAAAGGTATTGCAAATATTAAATTTACACAACTTGACTAATTTATCTGATATTATAAACTTTATGGATATAATCTGAATATGAATGCTAAGAAGAACCCATAAACATAGCAAGGGAAATCGACGAAATAGAACACGAGGAACAAGAAGATGCCTTAATAAAAATTAAAACTGAAAAACCAGGAAAGCGATGTTATTAAAGGAGAAATATCAATCAATAATCAAATATGCTTCAGAAAATTGAAGGAAGCGGCTCTTAAACATTCTTAAATGATGTTGGAAGAAAACGTGCATATCCCAAAAGTGGAAACTCGCAGAATTATGCGGGATAATGCTTCCAATTGATGATAAAATTATGCAAAAGCCTGCAAAGTATGTATGATAGACCAGACTGCAAATGTATTAACAAATGACAAAATAAAATAGCGAGCCCTTGCTTTCTGGGAGTAAGCCTTACTCAATTGTAGAATTTCAAATTCAGGTTCATATTCGTCAACCTGGTCATATTTTGTCGTCTTGAGTTATCATACCGTATCAACATTCAGTATCGGTTTCATATCATTCATTAAATATTTACGCAACGCACAGATGGTGACTATCAGCTACAAAGTTCAATTACAATTTTGTTTCTGGATCTCTATAGGTAAATACTTGATTATTGGTTTAAAAGCATATTTTTAAACTAATAATTGAACATTGTAAAATTAATTGTAAAAAATATGATTGAAATGAATAATACTTTTCGAAAATAGGCGACGAAAAAGGCGATATGGCATTTTTGTTCTCAGTCCGTACGTATATAACATAGGAGACAGCACACTATCTCGTTTACAGGTTCTGCTATCATTTATGGAAACATGTCACGATATAATGACGCAAATTCATACACCAAGTGCTCTGCTAAAACGTTTGATCTACTGCTTTCTTCTGGGTTCGCAGTTCAAGTCAATGCTCTCCCACACAGCAACCTTGAATTTCAGCGCCGTTGTACTCAAGGCCTCTGCAAATATGAATGCCAAGATCGCTCGTGTCACATCACGTGCTCCTCACTCCTCAGAGTCTAATAGACCTTGTGAGGCGTAGTGAAAGATCCAATATTAACTGTAAATATTTGACTTCTCTCAGAAAATGCCAGTGTAACATCAAATGACTTTGCACGGACAAATTTGAAATCAACGTTCTACATTTACACTAACCCTAACAATGAATCAATGTAAATCTCATAAGTGAATCTGGATATTTTAAAAATTGTTTAAAAATAAGAGTTTAATTTTCAAGATTCATGGTTATAAAATAAATATCATCAGGGATTTATCTTTGGAAACGTGTTTCTGATAACTAGTTTTTAGGATTGCAAAGGTAAATAAAAACAATGTTACATAAAAAACATTGACAGGAGATGAATGTTCTTAATTTTGAAGGAGTAGTTATTCAGATGTTTTGCTGGAAATTCGTTTTGGGTATATTAAACTACTGGTAACAACGCTTGTGCTTTTTCTGGAACTAAGACTGCCAATGTAACAAGGATTGTAAAGTACTTGAAGATTCTCCTCCTATCAGCGGAGGTTCTACAATTATCCACGCAAGTTTTCTTGAGCCCTCATTTCGCTAGATGCGACGGGTGGGGGATAATTATTTTATTGACAGGACTATTAAGTAAAATCTGTAGCTCGTTTTTCGATGCAAACTATTTTCTATTAGGCAGGAGCAAACACTTCTGGTTATCAGAGTTTCTCAACAAAACTTGTTGCTATAATTTATTCTGAATTCAACTAATATTATTAAAGGAGTGGTGGTAGGTATACCAGGGCTCAAAAAAACGCCACTGAGGAGAAGCCGAGGAAATGTTTTAAAATTTACATTATACTCTAAATTGCAAACATGTCTGTTTCGAGTAGTATTTTAATCTTTCAATATCGACTGATATCTGTTTCTCCCTCTCAATACATTGGAAACACTTTGGTCAGCCCTCCCGTTGCTATAGCGAGATACGAATTGTAAACAATCTGACCTTCACGTGGTTCTTCTCGACGCCGGGACAGCAGCATCTGCAGTCCTGCTGAGACATCGTACGACAGTGATCTCGAGTGAGGAAAGAAAATAACAAGTGAAAGCAATCAAAATTAGGGAAATTTGCTGTAAATCCGGAAAGGTAATCTATAATCAATAAGGATCAATAACATTAAGTGTATTGTTTCTTAAAATACAGCAATATTTACTGTCACTTGCAACAAATTTAGGTCTACTTTTAAAAATACAGAATATTTCATATCAGGTGCCTAAATAACATTGTAGAGAATAATATTAATATGTGTTATAAAACTACAAATGTGTAGGTTTATTGAGGTGTACATTACATTGTGCATCGAATGCGCAGATTTTTTAATTAATTAATACTTTTGAACCAGGAAATACGTAACACGGTTAACGCTTCAGACTACATACTATTCAAATCACTTACGTATCATATTCTTCGCGAATATAATGTAATATTTCAATTGAGATTTTTTTCGCAAGTTTTGGAGTTTTGTTTTGAGAATTAATTTATTTTAAGGGATAATTTTTGTTTTAAATTTTAAAAAATCAATTTCTAGCCTCTTAACTTACGCAGTATAGATAAAGTTCTGTAATGCTGCGGGGAAACTAGCGGTGCTACAAGCACGTACTTTCTCGCGATATTGTTAATGGTTAGGTATAGGCCCCGGATGTTTATGGAATGTCATATTTGTTTTCTTTGCGTAATTTCCATGGAAAATATAAGATAAGCATGATTTTTATCTACAGTGACTAAAATCATGCAATTTTCTCGTGTTATAAAAAGTCATTTTAACCCTTTGATCATTTTCCGTTAATTTTTTGTATTATGGCCAAATTTTTCGAAGATTTTTTTTGAATTTTTTGCCATTTTTATCTTTTTGATTTAATTTTCGCATTCTTGCTTTCAGTCGTCTCAAAGAGATTTTTCATATCTTCTAATATTGTTGTGTATAATTTATTTCAATTTCTGTCTTTCCTATAAATATACATGTATCTGAATTAGGAGGTTAAGCTTTATAGAGGGAGAAAAGCGTAGAAAGCACCAGATGCGAAGGAAGTGTTAGTTTCCTTTTGTCAAGTTTTGTCCCAAGGTCAACTACTTCTATAAAATTTATTTAATAACTTTAGCAAAGAGAATTTTCTTCAAAGGAGACGTGAATTGTGAATGTGCTAATTTTAAAAGAATATTTTCAAAACATTGGTTATTTAAACAGCTGAAAGCTAGTTTGAAGGTTTCGAAAATGCAATCAAAATTTTAGTCATATTTTCATGTTTTTTTAGGCCATAAATGCTTGCATATTTATAAAATTTTTAAGTCAAACATCCTGGCCCTAGTTATGTAATATTATAAAATGATCACATCTGTCTTATACTTCAACTACCATTTGGATCTGGGAAAGTGGACGAAAATCTGATCGAGATGAAGGTCATTGACCCAACAGCTGAAGTACAATATTTGTTACAAATTCTTTAGAACATTACAATCCAAATGGTACATAATACATTAAATGTCATTATACTCAAAATTAACATAAAAGTCGGCAACACCACGCGCGTATCCATCAAGATAAATCGTATAAATTAGAATGGTATCTAGACCCTGGATGGCTCAAAGCAATAAATATTCCAAATTAATCATCTCGATATTACTTTGCTCTTCGGGCAAATGGTTGCGAGAAATCATGTTCTTCCTCGCAATATTTTTAACGCGTACGTAATATGCGTTTACATTGCAACTAAATATAGATATACGTTTTCTCACCTAATGCTCTACGATGGATATTATGTTAATTAATAATAAGTTAAATAATGAGAAGGGATTTTCACAATAATCAACACCTCCAAGCACCTCTCAAATTAGTTTTAGAGGCTGACACCGCCTCAAACGGAGCGTTGGAAATTTGAATTTAACAAATTACTTTCCAATTTACGCAAAAAATACTCATATTTTCGAAAAATTCAACCTGAGCTCATTGGAAGATTTTTTGAACATACAATATTTCATTAAGAAAAAAGTTGAGAACCACTTCTTTGAAATTCTTGAAAATGTCTCAGGAGTTTCACGTAAAGTACACAAAATCTCACAAAATTAAAATTCAAGGGATCACTACATCACCCAGATCGATTGGGGAAGTTCCCTTGTTACAGTACCATGGATCTGGTATACTGCAACAGTTCTTTTATTCCGTTGGCAGCGATTTGTTCACATTATTGCATTCAAACATTTACACGTGCGTCAAATAATGAATAAAGTTTCTCCAAAACAACATTTTTATGAAAAAATAGCACAAAATCTGGCATTTTCAGAAATGCTCACGCATTTTCTAAAAAATGGCTCCAAATTTTGTCTTCAAACTTCTTGAACGAAAAATGCTAATTGCAGCTTGTAAGCTGACATAAAATTAATTTTGCTCTATTGTATTTTTAATTTACACAAATGTTTTTTTAAATAACTCTCAAGCCATTAATATGGACATTTCCGTTGATTTATATAGTAAATTACTGCGTTTGTGAATGGAAGTGCTTCAAATTACAAACAATAAAGTTTTTTCAAAAGATTTGAAACAGCTTACAGTAACGCCATTTTCTCAAAAAGGCTCCAACGTTTCCAACGAAATTTCCTTACAAGACGAGGTGTTACTCTTCAACAATATTCTTAAAGTAATATTGCGGTTCACTATTAGGAAAGCGAAAACTTCAGAATTGTTAAAAAAAAAATACACTTTCAGCGGATATAGACGGCATCTGGCTAGAGTATGAGGCAAGTCTGAAAAGAAAAGCCCAGATCAAAGAAAATAGAAAATTAGTTCGAAAAAGTGTGTGCCATCCTGTAGTACCAATAGTTTACAAAAAGATGAGGAGAATTGGAATACGTCGTAAGAACATATATCCAATTCTGAATTTCTTGTATCAAGCACCCAACAAACTTGTAAACCGTGATTTCGTAAGCTTCCGCGACCGGAGTTAGTATTGCCTAGGCTATGGGGATGCTGTGGTGGCCTAAGTTTCGGCGAACATATTTTGGACTTCCTCAGCAGTACGCTCTGAGGAGGGCTACAATTTATTGGCTGAAACCTCAGCCATCACGACAGAGACGCGGCACGTTTCGGATAGCCTACAAATACAAACTTGTAAACCATTGAGATTTTTGGTAGTTATGGAAGAAAACAATGTTATTTCTAAAAAATATATATTATACTAGTGGATCCCGGCAAAGCTTTGCTATTGCAGTGTATTACACATCACACACTACTGGCCACGTGATTGTTAACCACTTTTACACTACGCTGTGCAAAAATTCGAATAAATATTTTCTCGCAAGTATGGGTTTATTCTACGTCATGGTTGTCAAGTATCCAAACGTTCTCCCTTATATTTTGGCATGCATTCGTTATGACACTACCTTGCAGAAATTTGGTTTACTTGTCCGAGATTGAAGTAATAATTACGGCCGATTTTTCACAATCGCAAAGGCAGAATACTTGTATTCAGTGAATCCTTGTCTGTGCGGCGGGTTACATGAGTTCAGGGGGTGTTTGAGACGTCATATACGAACAAATCAACAATGCCCCCATACGTCCGATTTAATTCAAACAACTATTTAAACTCCCATTACAAACACTAACAAAGAAAGAAAATTTCTGCGAATTCGGCAGTTGTTTTTGCGTCTACATGCGACACACGTACGCATATTCCCTTTTATTTATGTATAGATTGGCTAAGGTTCCATTAAAATACATCCAACACAGAATTGAAGCTTCTCTGATCGCTGAAAAGAACGCCGAAACATTGGTTTACAAAAATAAATACTTTAGACATTTTTGCTATTAAAAGGGTAAAAACAACATTCACGTTTATTTTCTTTAAAAACTATTTATCTTGATCCCAAGCGTCTTCACTCAATACGTTCTAATTGGTGATAAAAATATTTGGATGTGGTCCTGAACGTTTCTTTTACTTGTAGGTGACCATACATTGGGTGGTAGATGCGTGGATATCTACCTCAGCCCTCTTAGGAAATGGTTCCGAATTTCGCGAATCACGAATACTTTCATCTTTCGATCCTGGCGTAGCAGACAAAGAACACATATTACTTAAAATCATATTATCTTCGAGCCTGTCTAAAATAAGAGCTCTCTAATTCTTGATAACCCACATTTCGTCTAGAATACAGTACTGGAGGAAGAAAAGGGGGTTTATGTTCTATAAATGTAGTGCATGCTATATCCCGGTAAGTGGCGGCGTTTTTTTCCCCCCCTCGTTGGAACCTAAGATCCGCTGCCGGGCAATACATCGGCTTGCGATTTCCTACACCTGGTATCTCCTTCATCGGGGCACCCGGCGGAACATGCTCCAAATTCATGTGGGAGAGTAGTGCGCGTAGGGGCAGAGGAAGGGGTCATGTGTGGTAAAATAGTGCGTGTGTAAAGACCCGTTTCGTAAGATTCTGCTCCGGTACTGTCGGAAAAACCACAGGAAAACTACCGATGAGAGCAGCCGGCCACTAGAATTCTCCTCAGAGATCCCGTATTCGATCTACAACTGCATGGTACTGCCGAAAATCTGCAACCTTCGGAGCAAGACTACTCGGACAGTTTTCCTTCCATTTCAACAGATCATTCACGAGCACTCGAGTTTTGCGTTCAGTTTGACTTATTACGCAAGTGCAGAAGCATTTGGTCCTATGCTTTGCGTATGAAAATATTAAATGTAGTTTTTCTCCTTCCAATAGCTTTTTTTTCTGTTCTCAACGTTAAATAAATAAATTTAACAGGCACATGTGGATTACAGGGACCATTTTTACTTCGCTACTTACATCGCAATGGCTCTTGAGAATCCTACTCTTCCCTAAAAATATCGGTGTGACGTTTTACTAGTTCAGTTACACTTTAGAACGGAATTTCAAATAGTACTCTCTGCACACACGAACCCAAATAAATATTGGCTTCTAATTTGTATCTTCTTTATGTGCAGAAAATGTATGAAGATTACCTTGAAAGAGATGATTTTGGATTTGTTACCAGAGCCATCAATGAAGGATATACTCCAGATGATGATGCATATAATGCAATTGTGCCGCCCATATCACTGTCTACATCATTTCAACAGCAAGGGCCATCTCAAAACAAGGTGTGTGTGTATATATATATATATATATATAATATATATATAATATATATTATATATATCTAATATTATATAATATATATTATATATATATATATTATATATATATATTTGCCCCGAACTTCCGAAGTCACTTTAATATTTTATTACTGTCCACAGGGGTTTTTATACGGAAGATTTGGAAATCCTTCAAGGCAGATGCTAGAACAATGTCTTTCATCATTAGACAATGCCAAATACGCGCTATGCTTTTCTTCGGGACTAGGAGCTACAACTGCAGTTCTGAATCTTCTGTCTCCCGGGGATCATATAGTAGCAGGAGATGACCTATATGGTGGTTCCCACAGATTACTAAGTAAGGTAAAGTATTTATTAATACTCCTGCAGAAGAAGCAATTTAACTTGATGTTTCATGTGTTGCTGTGTCATGTTATTCATATTGTTTCAATAGCTTTCTTCACTTTCTGAGGAAAATTCTATACTTAAAACATACAAACCGATCTTCGATCGTTTTAATCACCAGATGAAACAGATTTCTCATAGACCAAATTATGTTTTGTTTTTAAATATTTAACTAATAGTGTTAATACCTGGTTTGTTGTTTGTTATAGGTAGCAGGAAGACTCAACATACAAACTAACTTTGTGGATTTCAGTGATCTTTCGAACGTAGAGCAAGCAATTACGAAAGAAACTAAGCTTATCTGGTTGGAGTCTCCAACAAATCCTCTACTAAAGATTACGGACATTGCAAAAGTTTCAGAAATAGCACATCAGCATGAAAACGTAATCGTTGCAGTTGACAATACATTCTTGACACCTTACTTTCAGGCAAGTTGTGTACAATACATTTTTTGAATATTGACTTTTATTTTGTTATTTCCGTTCAGTGCAGGGTATGAGATGTGTTCGCAATAGGCAGCACTACACGCGCATGCACATGCACACACACACTTGTTTCCACATCTGTTTTTCAATATTAATATAGATAAATATAAAATTTCCCTCAGATCCTATCCTCCTCTTTTGAACCAGGCCTAAGGTGCAAAGTCAAGATAAAAGAATACGTGGATGTAAAATAATTTTAATTTATTTAAAGACTTCATCATCACAATAGCAAAATAGTATCTTTGCAGAGAAACATTATATTTATATTCATAGACCAAATAATAATTCATCTAGAATTAAAATTGTTAAGTGTCTGGCTTCTCCCATGTAGATATGTAATTATATAAAGCACATTATTTTCTACATTTCCACAGAGTTGAAAATCAATGTTTTTTAAATAGAGAAAGAAATCTATTTGATTCTTTTAAGACATTTTTTATCTTGAAAAATCGATTACAACACAAATAATTTTCTTCAGAGGCGATTACAATGAACCATTTTTCCTGCTTGCAGAAACCTCTTTCTCTAGGAGCTGATATAGTCATGTACTCCTTAACTAAATACATGAATGGTCATGGAGATGTAGTTATGGGATCTGTTGCAGTTAATGATTTACATCTTTATGAGAAGCTCAAGTTTTTACAAAATAGTAATTAAATTTGTACAAGTATATTAAACCATTATACAAAAAATAAGATATTCAACAGGTAATTAATCATTTACTGAATTTTGTGGTGTGTTAAACAGTAATGGGCATAGTACCATCCCCATTTGACTGTTACCTTGTCAACCGCAGCCTGAAAACATTGGCCCTTCGAATGGAACAGCACATGAAGAGTAGCATGGCAGTAGGATTATATTTGGAATCACACCCTCAAGTTGATAAAGTTCTTCATCCAGGTAAAATAATAAGTTTATGGACAATATTAAACTCCACTATGACTTAAAAAAAAAATAATTTTTCACTACAAGTAACTTTTGTTGACAGGTTTACCTTCCCATCCTCAGCATACATTACTAAAAAAGCAATGCTATGGATACAGTGGTATGATATCTTTTTATATCAAGGGTGGACTTCATGAAACTAAAATATTTCTTGCTTCCTTGAAGATAATACGACATGGAGGAAGCTTGGGAAACTATACAAGCCAAGCAATGATACCGTAAGTAACATGCACTATCTAATAGGAATGCCTAATGTTAACTTGATTTAAAAATATTTCCTTTGTACTAGGGCTCTCATGACACATACTGCCCTAACACCTGAGGAACGAACTCGCCTTGGAATCACAGACAACTTGATTCGCATGTCAGTTGGTCTTGAAGCAAAAGATGACATAATTGCTGATATTTCACAAGCATTACAAGCTATAAGGGAACAAAATTCATAAATAAACCTCATAAAATGCATCAAGTTTATATTTATTCCTAATAATGCAAGGTTCAAAATATTGTAGAAAATGTATAACTTATGTGGTGGATCTGTACTACCAAATTTAAGTGGTTTTACCAAATATTAAGGTAGATTCATTATATCTCCACTACTAAACATGCTACGGTAACAACACTAGAAGTGGCCACTTCAGTATAAAATTTGAAAACCAAGTATTGAAGGCTTCTCACTTGCTTCAAACTTGCAGAACATGGAGCTTAAACCTTCTAGTGGTGAGAATTAAATAAAGAAAAATGAAAAAACAAGGACAAATAATAAATAACGAATATATTTTAAGAATAAGTGCGGAAAATATCTTATTGGAATAATGTACTATGAATTGGTACTTTCTGGACTTTTTCTGTACTCTTTTTTGTTTGAAAACCAGCTCAGGCTAGAATATCGATTAGCAAACTGAGTTGAGTATCTGACCACTACAAGAATTTTCCAATTTTCAAGTGACCATTACTAGAACAAAATTGGGGTTGGGAAATAAATTACTAAAAAATAGGACAAATTACAAAATTAACCATTATTAAGTAAGGGATCTAGTCAGAAAGAGGTATGCTAATGTCCCTTTGAGTTTCACTTAATGAATTTAGTACTACACAAACAAAAACGTTTTTAATTTGGCTGTTATTGGTGCTTTTACCCGAACCTGAATGTTGAAATTAACATTTTTAGTATCTTGAATATTTTCAAGCAGGAGTGGAAATCATGTTAAGTCACTCGGCAAAACTTTGGGCTACAATGCCATTTTAAATGGGTAGAGTAGTGCTTCAAATTACAACTTCCTGAGCTCTAGCGAGGAGGGAGTGGGTAACATTAAGCTCCTCATCAGTATTTGTTGCAATACAAATATCATCTATGAATTGTAATCTAGCCAGAAACTTCATAAAATATTTAAAAACTACGCAGTTCACACAATTCAAATACCAAGTTCATCTGTATCTGTCTTCCTTGCCAACAAAAAAACTTGCTGTCTAATAAACAAGTGTGGGCGCAATGTTAATGGAGTCTCATTCAACGTACACATTTAAAACATTGTGATATTCATCACGTTTACATTTAATATTTAATGTGTTAGTGTTAAATGTTTACTAAACTTTACAGAATACTCTTTAAGAAAAAAATTAATAACAAAGATTAGATTTAATATGTATATAATGAACAAGATATGAACATTATATTTATAGCCATAATTCATAATATATAACTATACAAATAACACAGTGACAACACTAATTCATTATGTACAAAAATATAACAGAAATCAAATTGTGATACATTCTTGCAAATTTATCCACACTCTGTGTTGCAAAAAATAATTTGACTGATTGTTTGAATACCAGTCTGTTCCATTTCAGCAACAACTTCTCATTAAAAATGATAAATTATTTGTACACTAAGATTAAAAATAATACTGCAATTCATGCACATTACCTTTCAAAATTGTTTTCAAGCTATAATAAATTGTGGGTAAACCCTTATCTGAGCTACTCAAATGATTTAACAATGTTATCTTTCTGACATAGTGTGTTTCCCCCCAAAAAAACTTCTTCTATAGTATCACAAGTCACCACCAAGATGTGTGTGTCACCACCCAACCAAGTCACCATACGAATTCATTCATGGTCCATTAATTTGTATCTTTCAACTATTTGAACTGTTAACTAGTGCTCCTGCTGTGACAATCTCCTCTTGCTAAAGCAAGAGTACCACAAGCTTGCATAATGCCTTGCACAACACTGTTTTGAAGAGCATGAGGGATACTGGGTTTGCATGATGCCAAGTGTAGTTTGGCACTTTCAACACACTGTCAACAAAAAACATTTATTCTCATATTATTCAGAACTGGAGTATGAAAGAAAAATAAGTTTATGCAAAGTATTGATTGACATCACATTTTATTAATAGTATCTCTCAAGACTCTGTTCAAGTATTTTCATTATGCAGTCACTCACATCACATATTTGGAATATATGAAGAAATTCTTCTATTTAAAAAAAAAAAAATTGCTTCCATGAAACAATATTAGGATTTATCATTATAAAATTACATTCAGAAAGCATAAATTTTCGAATTTTTTGAGATATCCAAAGCCCAATATCTAAGCAAGCACTTCTTTACCAAAAAAGTTGCAAACACACATAATAAAGACCTTAGCCCAAGCTGCAATCTGCTGAAACAATGCAGCTGAGAAAGGCAAAAATGGAACTTCATCTTTCTGATCGTTCAGATTACTATACCCAACTATGGATTGCTTCTGAGACTTGATTGTTGATCGAGATCTTATCTCAAAATTCAATAATACAGTGTAAGTTATCTCCCAGGTTCCTTCCAAACTAAACACAAAATTCAATGTGTCCTCTCCGAGCGGCCTTCTACCAGTAGGACAGGACTAAGACATCACACTCCGAGCTATGTGTCGCCATCAATCTGTCATCTCTCAGATGCAGGGTTTCGATGACTTAAATCAAATGATTTATATCAAGTATCAAGTGATTCACCCAAAAAATCATTGATTTAAATCAAAAATATAATTTATTGTGAATTTTATTAATCATTGATCCACATTCTCAACCATTTAATTTTCTGGAATGGTTTATAGCCTACACTCTGTTTTCCTGCTTCAATCACAGTTTGTTTAAATGAACTCCAAAATATCTCAATATTTTGTTTCTCTACCTTCTGAAGTTTTTCTTTCAGTCTTCTTTCATATAATATTCTGATACTTTCACCTTGTAGAAGGAATACCTTGAGTTTAGGAGGTGTTTTAATTTTATTTTCCTTAGTTTTTGTTTGCTGTACTGTGAGTATAATTTTGTTCTCTGGTGTAGAATGTCTGTGCCTATTCCACATCCTCAAAACACTTAAAGGCTTTTGACATAGTTAAATAAGTTCCTGCTGACTGATACAAGTGAATTTGTGGTTTTTCTCATGGTTGAAAGAACTATATGTTATTCTTAAGTTCTTGAACAGGCAAAAGTGAAGTAGCATTTTTTCAGAGAGAGAGCGAGTGAGAGAGAGAGCGAGAGAGAGGTGGTGGTGTGTGTGGTGGTGGTGTGTGTGTGGTGTGGTGTGTGTGTGTGGTGTGTGTGTGTGGTGTGTGTGTGGTGTGTGTGTGTGTGTGTGGTGTGTGTGTGGTGTGTGTGTGTGTGGTGTGTGTGTGTGTGGTGTGTGTGTGTGGTGTGTGTGTGTGTGGTGTTTGTGTTAGAGTTCTGTGAATAGTTTAGGTGCTCGTGTTGTTCAAAACAAGATTGAGACAAACATTTTTCAGAATAAAAGGACCCCAAACGTGTATTTCCCTGAAAGTAGTAATAATAGGTCTGTAAAGGTAGTAATTGAACTAAGAGCCGGTTTCACCAAACGAAGAGTAAGAGTTTACTCTGGAGTAAATCATGTTTACTCGAGAGTAACTTCTTGGAGCGTTTCACCAACACTTTACTCGAGTGTAAATCGCTTACACGAGAGTAAATTCGAGAGTAACTTTACACCGCGAAAATCCGTCGGGTCAAGTAGGGAGTAAATTCAGTTTTCAATGATTAAATGATGAAGTTACACTAACTGATATTTCATGAATTCGAGCTTAAATTCATTACGATAAATCAACATAAATGAAGTTTGAAGCTTTGAAAAAAGAATTTTACCAGAAATTGTACCAGAAATTTGATACTGCTTAATAAAAACCAAATGTCCAAAGATACAACTTAATTGATTAGTTTGAAATTAAGGATAAAAAAAAACAAAACATTTTACCTTTTGTTTGAATGAAATAGAAGGACTCATTTGAAATTCAGAATTAAAATCGACAGCAACTTGCTGATTTTCCTCTACAAGAGAAAATATGGCTGCCATATCTTTTAACATATTTGCCACATTCAGTCCATGTGATGTCACTGTTACTGAAAACATGTAAGGAGTTCCATATGGTGTCGTCTCTATCTCATCAGAATGAACTGTGAGACATCTGTTTGGAAACAAAAAACTAGTTATAATGTATTTATTATGATAGTGAGAAAACCAAACAATGATATTTAACGTCACTCACCTGAACTGAGATGCTAGAGTTGGATTAATAGGGCAATATGGTGCCAATATAAAACTAACAATAGGTGAAGCCGCTGTCTGAGAAAACCACTGTTGGATGTTGCTTTGTGTACTCAAATCCTGAAGAGAGGGGTTAGGGAGAAATGTGGGGTGTGAATGATACCACCCTACCACTTCTAAATTAGCTCCTTGCAACTTTTCACTTGCTTCCGTCTGGGAAACTACAGAAATGCTTAATTAAATTGTTTTTACTTTTCGAATTATCTTCATTGTGTCAAATAAGAAGTATTTTGTAGCTTGTGGATAAGATATAGAAATCATACCTGGGCACATATCACAGTGAACACCACTACTGTTGCTGCGACATGGCAAAGCCCTCTTGATGTATAGCACACTATTAGCTACATCAAATGTGCCTCCAAGTAATCCCGCCACCTCAGTATGAGAAGAGTGAGCATGCATGTCGACCACCAAAAGAGCCTCCACATTCATGTGAACAATAAATGGAGCCTGCAAAAAAGTGGGAGTATTTGACTGAGCTCTTCTTTAATCTTGTTCACACAACGAAGGATTAAGAATGATAAAATATATTCAGGCTTGGATAAATTATTGTAATTCTTTTACTATTGCACACTATAATAAATTTACATTATGGATATCTCTCATTAGTGTATAAACAACACATACTAATAATTTATATGAAAAACGTAATGTAAAGGTAACTTCTTACAGGCTTGGAGTCTGAATATTTTTGGCAATAGATAAGTTTGATAGTTTTCGTTTTAGTAGACTGTCCTTTATTTCCTTTTGACACAGTATCTTGAACAACAGTTGTGTGAATAGCTTCCCCACTTTCACTGTGTGTAATGGTGTAGCCTCCATCTCCATCAAGAGTAAATGCAGGATTCTGTCAAAGAGAACAATTATCAAGAAATGGAATGCAACATGTGAATTTATAGTAACAAATATGGTTAAAATTTTTCCAATTATTTATATTTAAATATCATAACTAACAAAAAATTAGTTCCCCCCCCAGAATACTAGGTTCTAAAGTTGAAATTCTTTCCTCTTAAATGCTTTTCATTTACATATAATATAGCCTATCTTCACTTTCTAAACCTTTCTCTAGAAACTATTTTAAAATACATTCATTAGAAAGGTAAAATATAGAAAAGAAACTTTATAAAGTAGAACTCTGCTAGTCTGAACTAATTAGGAGTGTGGTCTGTTCGGATTATCCGAACAAATGCACGATACATATATAAATACATCTATAGGATTACCAGACACAATGCAACGTTGTGTGCAATGTGAGAGAAAATGGCAATGTAGTGTAGCGATCGCATCATCAAGCAAATTCAGTTCCTTACGAGAAAAGATTACCAATTTGCAAGTTCCTCTAAGTGAAAATTACTGCTACATAAACATGTGACCGTAGCGTAGTTACACTGTAGTTACCAGTGAAATGAACGTTTCATTTCAACAACTTGTTTCAATAATTAGTTGTTCAGTTCTGCAGTATTTATAAAATTCTTTCTAGACACTACAAAAAAGCATTTTATTTATAGTTTACTTTTCCTCTATCTCAAATTTTGTTCAGTTTATCTGAAATTTAAAATTTATGCAGATTGGATTGGAGAAGTTCTACTGTAGTTCATTTTAAGCGTGCAACTGAAGGAATGAAGAGGAAAACTGTGAAAAAACTTGTAAAAATTGATTGTGCTTATAATTTTCCAAATTTAATTCAAATATACTGTTTTGAATTGAAATGAAATATGAATCATTTAATAATGCTGAACCAATTCAAAATCTTAAAACAATAGGTTTTATCCTCATAAATACACGGAAACAGTTCTTCCCTACCTTTTTCTTCTTACGAGGTCTCATTGCACCAATCCGAGCCTGCTGCATAGCAGCTAGTTCATCTTTACTAATTTTCTTGTGTGTAGGAACAATTGGTATACTCTGAGCAGCAGCATTTAAGTACCGTGCTTGTTCTGCAAATTCAGTACTTAAAACTAATTTTCTCCTGAACAATTAATTCACTATTCCAAAAACTTTAGATATCTCTTACCACAGCCAAAATTAATAGCTCCTATTTGTTCCAGATATGCATGTATACGCCCAATACAATTGACATCACCACAATGTTTCAAACCAGTTCGCACAGACGTTTTAGTTATGTATGCTGGACGACTTTGCCGCCAGCATTCCAATATATGATTACGAATCTGAAATACATCACATTCTTTACAGAGAATAATTAACAGCTACTAATTCTACAACAAAATTATTATTTCTACAAAGCTTTGTTAATTTAATAGTACACTAACTTTCAAGTAACGTTTAGGTGTTTTGGCAGATCGCCCTTCAAAAAACTCCATATGTATCATTCGTTCATCATCACTTATCACCTCAGTGTCGAGAAAAACTTCTTCTCTTGGTGGTGGCATACTGAATATCAATTCAAGAACTTCATGATGAGAGTGACCAGACCTGGCTGCCTCCTCTAGATTAGTACCATCACATTCTTTTGTTTCTCTTCCACTGACATTAACATCAAATTGTTCACACTCATGTGCTTGTTCCCTAACTGCATTCTGTAAAATATACATTTTCCTCTTTTTAATGATAAATGTAATAAAACATTATGGTAAAGAAAGATTTTTTTAAAAATTACAAAGGAGTTTTAAAAAATTAAATGAATTAACTACAGCACAATATGCATCTCCAACATATTTTTTTATTAGAGAGAAGTATTATGACAAACCTATTTAAGGACTTACATAAACAGACAATACACGTGGACAGTGGAGTATATTCTAAAGTCATCTATCTACACTTCTCCAAAGCCTTTGGTGGTCTCTAAACTCAAACATAGAGGAAAATTACTATTCTGAATGCAGGCATTCTTGAAGGAGAAAGAATTTAGCATGAGAGGAGGAAATAACATTTAAGCACCAATAAAAATTATAACTGGAGTCCCATCATAAAGATCATTCCTTGGCCCTATTTTGTTTATTCTATACACCACTGGCTTGATTGCTCACATCAAATCCAAGTCCTTATCGTAGGCAATGTCACAAAGATTTATGTCAATTCCAGCATCAACTCCTTTGAGTTGCAAGACACCTTGACAAAATCTATGAATGGAGAACTATGGATAATCAGTTGAATAACAAAAATGTGGTAGTGCACACTGGGAGGAATAATCCTCAACACCAATACACTAAATGTGGAAACACAATGATACCAACAAAATATACAAAGGACTTTTGAATTTTAATGACTAGAGCATGGAAGTTTCACAAAATGCCTTTTTATTATAGTTGTTACAATTTGAAGACTTTCAACAATAGGAATCACTTACGGATATCTGGGGTTGCTTTAGATTTTCATTTTGCATACTTAAGTATTTTGCCTTTTTCTTTGTTTATTTTGTTTTTTTCTGTTCTTGATCAAGCTGGAAACTTACCTCCAAGCCCAGACAACATGAAGGAACTATGTTTTGTCTTTCTCTGGAAGCAAAGGTCCCAGAACCAAGTTGTGTTAAAAATCTAAACGGGATAGGGACTTAATTCCAATCAACATTTTTGGATTCTTTCAATGACACTGACAGGCTTTGCTAACTGACAAAGAACCCAAACCTACTTTAGGGAATGGCTTCAGATTCTTTCAGATGACATAGCTATCTGAATATGATAAAAAAAATTATCACCACAATTTTTATTAAATTTTGTTCTCGGATAGCCTAAAGATCAGAGAATGATGCAAGTGGTAAGTCAGAGAATGGAGGCAAGTTATGGTATTCAAAAATTGAAAGCTCATTTCAATGTAATCAAACCAAGGTTCTGTGAAATTATTCTTGCTTCTCTATATTGGGGTTTGCAAATTTTGTAAGAGTTAAATTTGCTCATGTTTGTTTCATTTGTAAAAGTTAGCAATGACTACCGTTTCTGGCTTTTGAAATAAACACAGATATGCATCACACATGCTTTGATTGAAATAGTTGAATTTTCTAAGTAATAACTGAGTTTTTAGTAAACCAGAAATTAAAATATTTCAATATTTTGCAACTATTTCCAAAAATGCAAGAAAGTATGTGCTGTTGCAGCACCTCTAGTTTTATAACAATTCCTTTTAATTTTTCATTGTTTACATGCCATTTGGCACCAATACTTTAGCCAGAATAAATGCCTTTTTGCATGCAAATAATTGCCTGAACTTCTGGGCTTTGATGATATTAAACTTGAAGTGGGATGTCACCATAGCCAGTGGGATAATCTGGCACATGATGTATTAGTCAAGAGCAACTGATGAATTTGAATGTGGGTACAATGTTTTCATTCACACAACACACAAATTTTAGAGGAAGCTGATAAATGCAAATAGTGAGTGGGGCCACATTGACCTGAGCTGGATGAATTGAGTAGCGCAGATTGAGTTAGCTTGGGTGCACCTGATTTATTTTGTTCCATGGACACGAACTATAATGGATCAAGGAATTTGCATGATAAACTCTGAAACTGTAGAAATTACTTAAAGTTGTAGAACACTTCTTTTGACTTTCTTTTATTCCTTTGTATCTCATTTATATTAGCATATAATTAGGTAACTTTTTTTGTGCTTAATAATACTATATATGGAGAAACAAGTTCAACGCTCCCACCGAAAACAGGTGAGCGTGACCGCCCATCGGCCTTTTTTACTTTTGACTTGATCAATAGGGGAATGAAATGACAAAAAGCATAAACAATATGTGCTAACACCTTAATCAACTGACTTTTACAATGAAATACTTTTCTTATCAAATTATAACACTACTATTATCAACGAAAGTATTTATGCTAAGAGGATAATCTTATAGTGTAGCCCACAGTGTGGCTTGAAATTCAAGCTCATTTACATTCTGATGGTTCTTGACGGGCTACCTCCACGTCCCGTAATCACTGGTTAACGCCATCGCATAGAGTGCGCGCAGTGAGGCGGCGAATGAAAGACAGCGGCTCTGCACGTCCCTCCGCCACCATCCGCGCCAAGGGGAAGGCAGGCGTCGACGCCATCGTCAGCCAGCCCCCACCATCCCGGCGACCAACCTTGCGGAGCGTCGCTCCTACCGCAGCCTCGTCTCGGGAAGCGTTGCGGTGGCGAGCACGTACCCAGGGTCGGCGTTCATAGTATCTCCTCGCAAATCGATTTCTATCCCACAAGTACTCAACCGCTGTCCTGGGGATAAGAACGCACTTGCTTTCGTTCAAGTCGAAACCCTTGTTTCTTATCCTTTCCGCGTCTTTTGAGTAGATCCTCTTTGTGCTGCTTATCAGAATGTCATCGTAATAAACAAAACCCCGACACCGACAACACACTTCCGGCGCCGCCGTCTGCATGACAAAGGGGCTGAGGCACCAGGTACGGCTTTTATCTTACGTACGGCAGGTAAATCTTTCGCCAGCGGAACGTGACAGAAGCCATCCCTGAGATCCAATCTGACCGCGTACGCGCGGCTTCAGACGGTTCTTTATACCTCCGTCGCAGAGGGTAACGATACCCTCCAGAGGATCGTAGCGGGGAGACCAACCCGCTCATAGCGTAGATGAGCCTGGCCAACCAGTTCGGTTTCGGCACCAGGCGCGCCGAAATGGCACTGCGCACAGTTGCCCTCTTCACAGGCTGAATTATGCCGGCGTCTCGATGCGAGAGTCCTATTACGAACAGCGAGCGGTACGTGCCGCACGCCTTCTCTAAATAAGAACTAACTTCCGTCCGGCGTGCTTCTTTTGGCGAAACGAACAGGGCACCGCCGGCTGGCACCACGTCTTAATCGGCCTGCTCGTCCGCCAAGCTATTCTATACCCGAATGAAACCACATCTACCCCGTCGGGGGCGGTGACTGCGTCCGCGATGGCATGCAAGTGGCGTGGGGGGTAGACAGTGGGGCCGGCGCAGCCAAACGCATACACGCGAAATCACGGCGACCGCCGCACACGCCAAATCTATTTCGGCGCGATCGCCATCGTCGATGTCTTTCCAGCCGCGCGTGACGGCGTCCACGTCACGCGGCCCCGGGGAAAGGGCTTCGTCCCGCCGACCCGGAAGGGCGAAAGAGCAGCAGCAGCAGCAGCAGGCAGAGTTCGCCAGAGCGGTCCGCAAACCGCGCCTGAAGGCGACCGCAATGCTCCTCACTCATTCAATTACAAAATCTCTGCTAGACACGCCCAACACGTCGAAGGAGTCGCGTAGAATCCACAGGAGCCCAAGTTCTTCGCGGTGTCCACGAGGGTTGGATTCCACCTGGTTCTCCAACCATGTCCAATCCATAGCTCACGTGTCTTCCAGGACCGACGTTGCCGTCGCGAATCGATTTTAACAATTCGCTAGCCACCGCGGACGCAGATAAAACCTCTTTTCCGTCGACTTCCTCGTTATCCGCCTCGGAAACATCTGACGACTGTTGTGTCGAACTCTTCTGTTTCCCAATTTCGACGACGTTTTCGAAGAAATCTAGATAATTCCTTGGCTTTTGTCGCTAAATTGTGTATGAAATCAATATAAATATCGAGTATCAAATGATAAGCACGAAATGGGTTAAGACTTCAACTGGGCATGGGCAGTGAAAGAGAGCTCGCTCAGTGCATGGTCAGAGAGAGAGAGAGAGAAGAGCGACAAAAAGAGAGATTATAATGTGTATATAGCACGTTATTTGTCGCATAATGTAGATTTTAGTTAATGATAAAGCATTGCCCTTAATTTATAGCAAGTTTTGATCTGTTACCAGAGAAATTATTTGACTCCTTTATTTTTATTATAAACTCATATTTCAAGATCAAAACTTGGTGAAAATTAAATCATAAATAAAAATTAAAATTCAGAGAAATCCCTACGATCCAATTTACATGCTTCCTTTTGATGAAAGATTTTGGAGTTTTAGGAATGCATGCTTGCGCACAGCAGTTCTGCTGCGCACGGAACACACAATTAAGAACTCCAATATCATTAGTCAAAATGATACGTGTAAATTGGGACTAACACACAATTATAGGCAATGAAAAATTAATATAGACCTTATTTAAAATAATTTCTTTATAGATTCCCAGGTGGCCTGAAACTTCACTGGGCTCTTCTGACACGAGTGTGTTATGGTTTAGCAACTATGGTAGGGTTGTGAAAACTGAAAAGCTGTCTCTGGGTGTATTATTCAGTCAGGACATCACTGGGAGCCTTTGGACAAGATCCTACAGGGAACCACAATGTTCTGGGAGCCTCTGGATAAATTCGCTTATGCAGACGCGCTTTCGGCTATCGCAAGGACTTACTGATAACAGAGATGTCTTGCACGGTATTTACGTGGGAGTGAGCTCAGCTCACAACAGAACCTGCAGCGAGAAGCATGATGCAAGACACATGTCTCACAGTTGACCAGTCCTTAGTCGTTAAAGGTTTAAGTAGTGACTTCAATGGGCAATGGTCTAGAAATTGGTTTACACAAACCTCATGCTCTGAAATGGATGTGGAATCCAAACAGGTCACGTCTCAGACTCATTTTCAATACTGACCCAAACACAGAAAACTACTTTATACTTGTATTCACAACAAATTGAAGAGTAAACATATTTAAGAAAAGGCAAAGAACAGAAGAGGAAAAAACTATAAAATCAGTTCATTAGTCTAATACAATGATATTAATTCTGAGTATATTCCTGACGGAGAACAGAAGTATATTTGAAATAAGAATAAGATAAGAACAACTGACCAGATTCCTCACATGAATGTGGTATAATTGTAGTTTATCACTGTAATGAACACAAACCTCCAATTTTACTTCCACAATTTTTTCTGTTCTAGGACATATTTTCACCTCCTCTTGATATTTAATTACAGATTCCTCTTTATTACTTGTAGTAATTATTTCACTAGCAGAGAAATCTTTATCTTCCACTTCTATTTCAGCATCATCATCAGAATCAAGACTGCTTTCTTTCTTTATTCGTACCTGTTCAGCACCCAAAAAAGTAGTATTAAATAAAATATTCATATTTTTTCAAAAAGGCTAGGAAAGTATTAATGAATTGCTTAAAACTTACAACTTGTTCAACTGTGGACAGCCTAACAACAGAGTTAGAAACTGGCTCAAGTTTATTCTTCTTTGGAGCCCCATAAATTGTTTTAACATCTCTCTTCTCACTACAGTGTTTTGGTAGTGGTGGTCTTCCTCGTTTGTTTTTCATTCTGAAACATTTCATTTCATATATATTTGAAGAGAAATAAACATTGATAAATTTAAAACATATTTAATTACATACTTTTCATGTGCATCTTTTCTTCTGACACTTGTACAATTTGTTTCTCGAGAAACAGTAGATGAAGATGAATGGTTCCTTTTCGCTAATGAAGGAATAGTTGGCTGTGCTGTACTCACCACAGCAATTACCTACAAACATATTTCTCAATAAAATGGATTCACATATTTTGTAAAGCAAATTAAACACTACACTTGAACAATATAAAATACATAATAACCAAGGAGCAGATGTTAATGAAATGACATTTTTTTTCTTTTCACTTTAGAACATTGATGTAAACGTCAATCTATACTAAAGTATAGAGATTAATTTATGTTTATTATAGATATTATATTATATTATATATATTAATAAAAATAATAATAATAATAATAATAATAATAATAATAATAATAATAATAATAATGATGATGATCGTGCACTTATATACATTACTTATATAGCCAATTAAAAATGACAATTTAATTTACAAGAGAAAATTTATTTCCAAAATGTTGATTTTGCAAAGACCAGATAAAAAGAAATAGTATGATCATTTACCTCTTCCATTGATGCAGGTATTTGCATATCATCTATTAATTCTGAGAAATTGAACACTTCTGAATTACCATGATTTGAAGAATCGAAATTAAAGTTTTCAGCAGTCTGACCAAAATGTATGTTTTGCGAAGTTACATAGTTCTTCACCTGATGGGTAGTTTTTGTTCCAATAAACTGAGCCAGTTGTGTCCAACTATGTCCAAAAATTTCCTAGAACAGAGAAAACATGTATGTTATTTCAATTTATTTAAGAGCAAATCGATATTAATATAATTTCCTAAATAAAATAAAATTCTGGATATAGCAAGTACAAAGGATGACGAGAAAATGAGAACATCAGCAATGAATAGTTTATGAATAAAGTGTACTATGAATTATCATAAAAATAAATGACACATTTTTCCATGTAGTGAATTATATGGCCAAAATAAATGTACCAAACCCTGCTCCAGCAATGATTTTTCTTTGTCTGTCCAACTGTCATTGTCATCCCATTGAGATGTTGAAGGAAGAGAATCCGAGACGCCACTGGCAAGCGAGCTCGGAAAACTAAACTGATTGCGATCATAAGACTTTGCTTCATCTGCTGTAGCATACCAACACGATTGATTTGGTGCATCTAATAACCAGTGGGAGCCGATATTGTAGTCGCAATTCAAAAGCTCCGCTCCTTGACGCCCAAGCACACCACTTACATAACACGACCCCCTGAAACAAAAATGTAAGACCCACACAAATATACTTTCCTCTTTAATATATATCAGTCGCTGAAGAAAAAATCTAAACAAACACAATTACAATATTTCACAGCAAGTAAAGACACAAAAAAATGTGAAATGTCAACAGTACAAAACTTTCAAAATATAATGTAGAAATGGAAATCTTACGAGGGACACGACAAAATAATTAACGAAAAGAATAATACCAACAAGCGACCGTCGTCCTTTGTCAGAAGATTATCTAGATTATAATCTGAATCACCCAAAATATCAATCTCGTCTTCCTCTTCCGCCATGATGGCCCAAGTCATGCTTTGTCAGCTGATTGCGCGCCTAAAATAAATGACGCACGTGGAGCGCCTTGTATAGTTTATGTTTTAGACAGTACAGTAAGCAAGTAGGGTGTGTTTTTCGGCATTTTTTTGCGATGAAAAATGCTGAAAATGTGGAAGTGAGAAGAGCAAACTTTTGAGCTTTGCCCGTCATTTAGTACAGAAACTTGGAGGATTTTTCATCAAATAATTTTAGGAAAGTATGCGTGTGGTGCAAGTCATTTGCAATTGTTTATGACTTGGCACTGTCAACTTGAGGAGCGAGTAGGCATAGATCAGCGATTGTGAAAAAAATAAAATTGCAATTCAAGCCTAATAAAATGGATTTTCCACCGCTGAAAAACGATCGCTTTCTTCGAGCTGCGCGAGGTCAAGAAGTTGACAAAGTGCCTGTTTGGATAATGCGACAGGCTGGAAGATATTTGCCAGAGTTTCGCCAGGTCAGATCCAAACATGATTTTTTTACTATATGCCAGACACCGGAGTTGGCAGCAGAAGTTACTCTTCAACCTATTCGCCGATTCGAATTGGATGCTGCCATAATTTTTTCTGACATTCTTGTTGTACCTCAAGCACTTGGCATGGTTGTAGAAATGAGAGCTGGTGTGGGACCAGTATTACCGAAACCTTTGCATTCCCCTGATGACATCTCAGATTTGGAATATCCAGTTAACGTGAATGAGAAACTCAAGTATGTTGCAGAGGCTATTACACTGACTCGGCATAAACTAGAAGGTAAAGTACCTTTGATTGGTTTTTCAGGAGCCCCATGGACCTTAATGGCTTATATGATTGAAGGAGGTGGATCGAAAACTTTATCAAAAGCAAAAGCGTGGTTATATCAATATCCAGCAAAAACTAAACACCTTTTAGACATGCTAGCAAATGTTATAGTTGATTATCTAGTTATGCAAGCTGAGGCTGGTGCTCAGTTATTGCAAGTATTTGAATCAAATGCAGAATATTTGGGGCGGGAACTTTTTCTTGAATTTTGTTTGCCTGTCCTCCAAGATATTTGTTCTAAAGTAAAAAGTAAGTTGAAGGCAAAAAGTTTGGATGTGCCAATGACAATTTTTGCGAAAGGTGCTCACTATGCATTACTTGAAATATCTAAATGTGGTTATGATGTAATGGGAATAGATTGGACTGTTAATCCAGAGGAAGCTAGAAATATTGTTGGGCCTAGTATAACACTCCAAGGTAATCTAGATCCTTGTGCTTTATATGCTCCTGATAATGCTCTTCAGTCGTTAACCCGTGAAATGTTAAATAAATTTGGAACTGATCGCTATATAGCCAACCTTGGTCATGGGATCTATCCTGACATGGAACCAGAAAAGGTGAAAGTATTTATTGATTCTGTGCATGCATTTCAAACATTACCTATATGAGTAGGTAATAGTTTTGAAAGAAAGACCTTTGTAAAGTAGGAGCATTTCAAATGTATTAAATAGTGGGTTTGTGAAGGGTAAGGGTGTAATGTATTCCCTCTTGATTTTTTGATTGGATAGTATTACTTAATACAATATTAGTTCAATTAAGTAAAAAAAATGGAAGAGAATGGGAATCCAGTATTTTAATTTAATACAATTTTAAGAAATGTTGAGAGATAATTTGTTTCACAAATTATTTTCAAATACTGAATTGTGCATGCTCGAATATTAAATTTCAGGCAAATATAGTGCAATAAAAAATGTAACATTTTTTAAACATCTTTCTATTTTGAGACCATATCTATGAAACTAAATCAATTGATTTTAATAAGGGTGTAAGGGCTAAAAATCTCGATTACTTGGTTAATAAATTTGAATGGATCTGTGTCCCCAATAATTTTCAAAGGTATCTTCTGTTTATATAGTGCTATAAATATTCTAAATAAATATCTGAAATTTGACTTTCAAATGTTTGTTTCCATGTTTCCATAAAACTTGAATATGGATTATGTACTTGGCACTTAGATTCTTATGAAAGTAAAAACTTCAATTAAAGTGCTACGATTGTTTTGTACATGTTGAATTTACTTAGTTTCATTTATCATTTTGTGTTGAGGTGAGAGAATTGGTGAAATATGTGTAACATATAAGTATTTTATGAAATATAATTTTGTTAATACTTTTTTAATTTTCTATGTGTGCAGTAAATGCCTGTACATGTAAATATATATTATCATGTAAAAAATAAAGAGTTATTTCTGGCTTTTATTGTTTTCTTTTATTTCTGATTCTCACATCCTTGAGGATCTAGCAACACATTGTGTGTATGTTGTGTTCATATTACACATGTGTATAATTATCAGAATCAATCATCATTTGTATTTTTTCGATAAAATTCTTGTAGGCGTATAGCATGGGTGCGAATGAAACCAGTAGCATCTTCTGGTTGAAAGTCTCCATGCTTATCCATGGACACTAGATCTTGGTTGTATACTGATTGAGGAGAACTGCGTGCAATAGAAAACACTGAAACAAGAAAATCATGAAACTACATTTAATTGAATATAGAATTAAAGTTGACTTGTTTCTTTGTGCTACAAGGAATGAAATCCTGTTTGAAGGATTTAACATATATACAACTAATTGTTTTTTAGTATTTCAGAGAATTAAGTTGAAAGCCATTTTGAGGAAATATTAGATATTTAACAGATTTTGTTTTAAACGTTTTGTTGGGGTCCTAGTGAGAATTTACTAACATTAAGGAAAACAATTTTTACTAGGGTATTATTGATGCATACCTGATCCTTTGAAAAGTTTCACTTTCACCCAGCCAGTCACATTATCTTGGGCATTTTGTAGACATTTGCGAACATAATTACATTCAGGGCTAAACCAAAATCCTAAAATAATGAAATTCAGCACTATGATTTAAGAGAATTGGATTATCAACACTTCACTATGGATAATAATAGGGACCTTTCTTACCATTATAAACATAATCAGCCAAACGGTCACGTAGATATGATTTAATTCGAAGAACTTCACGATCCAGGCAAAATGCCTCAAGATCCAGGTGAGCCGAATGTAAAACTGTGCCTGCAGGTGTCTCATACACACCTCGGGACTGTTAATAATGGAATAGCTCTTAAAAACACCGTGTTCAGCATTGGAATTACAGATGTTTGTAGCATGTATTTACACACACAAACAATCCTAATCCAAAGTTTTTATTTATTTGAGATTTCTTTATTTAAATATTGAAGAATTACTGTACTAGAACTGAACACCCATCAAAGTGTAAATACCTTCAATCCTATGAAACGGTTCTCAACAATGTCAATGCGACCCACACCATGTTTGCCAGCTAGGTTATTCAGTAGTTGATATAATTCTAATGGATCTTCAACTGTATTACCAGTGTCAATTTGTACCACTTGTGTAGGTACACCTATATTAAAGATCACAAAATATAGAATTGCGTTGTAGGTTCAAGACCCTTTGGTTCCGTCAAGGAAGGACCATATTCATATCAATGGAATACCGTTTTTGAAGAATATCTGGAGATAGCAAGGTTGTTCTGGAGCTTGAGCAGGATCCAAAGTCATTTGATACAAGTTGCTTGGTGCAATTTCAGCTGGGTCTTCCAGAATGCCAGATTCGTAACTGAGCGGTAATGCATATGATAATGATTATTTATGAATTAAAATTTTAAAAATAATAATTAAATCACGTCACAGCTCACTAGTACCTTAGTGGCTCATTGAGAGGGCTGATTTGTGAATTCCAAAATAATGAACAATAATTGAAAGTTTAGTGAATGAAAAACATTTGTGTACATTCATTCTCTCACCTTATGTGCATTATATTTGCATCCATGCTCCATGGTGCCTTTGGTGTTACTGGAACAGGTATGCCATGTTCAACAGCATATTTCAATAAGTCTTGTCTACCTTGGAATCGCTTTGTAAATTTTGGAAGTCTCCATGGTGCTAACATCTAAATGTATTATCTGACTGGTATATTGTTACATTTTTAAGGACCATACAAATTACTATTACAGTAGTAATGAGTTATTCAAACCTTAATCCCCGGGAACAAGGCATAACAAGCAAGTTCTAGCCGCACTTGATCATTTCCTTTTCCAGTTGCTCCATGAGATATAAACTGAGCATTTTCAGACCGTGCTATGGCAACAAGACCTTCAGCAATGCAAGGCCTTGCAAGAGAAGTACCCAATAAATATCGGCTCTCGTATATAAGACCTGATCCAACAGCTGGCCAAATAAAATCCGTTACAAACTCTCTGCGTAGATCTGCAATAACCACCTGAAGAAAAATTCTTTGTTGAAAGTACACTTTAAATTCTTACCAGTAATGAAATCTTTCCAAATACTTTGAAAACCATAAAAGCAGTGAAAATGTCAATTGCTTGGGTTATAAAAAAGCAATAACCTTCTTTGCTCCAATTTTCTGAGCCTTTTTTTCTGCTGCCTCAAAATCTTCTTCTTGACCAATGTTTGCCTAAAATGAGGAAATAAATTTGTCATCACGTGATAAGTTTGAGTATTATATTCTTAATTTGTTTGAAATTGTAAGTTCTTTGGGATTTTTATGCTCACCATATACGCAATAACATCGTATCCCTCCTCTATTAACCATTGTAAAATACATGATGTGTCAAGTCCTCCACTATAAGCTAGTACAACTACACTTCGTTGTGAAGTCATAATTCTGCAACTGAAGTTGATGGAAATTTAATTTAAAATTGAACTTCACATCCAGCAGATGGACAATAAAGTGTAATTCATTACTTTTAAATACCAAAACAAAAGATTTTTAATGTAATGAGGCTTTTAATAATTTTACAAAATTATAATATTCACTGCAAATTGGAAGAGATCAAAAAATATTTAATTCTCTCTTGGAAAATAATTTTACCTGAATTAATCACAAATATTTAAATTGGATTATTGTAAGAATTAAATGAGACTATAAAATTTAACCACTGTTCACTTGTGTAGTCTGGTACCTTAATGGAATACTTACTTCCAGAGATTTCTTATCATGTATGGCCTTGCTCTTTAGGGCATGACTAGTCAAGAGGTCACATGGAAACAACCTTGAAATAAAAAACTATTTTAAAGAATAACAGATGAGCTTCATTTATTATTTACAATCATGTGGTTTTTGTGCATCATTTCTTCAAATTTTTAAATAAATTCCCATTTCCTTGGACAATCTTCACAGAGGTTAAAATTCATAATAAGACACAAAGTTTTGTTCTCAACACAATTTATATTTTCAAAAACTGCACAATCAAAATTCACAAGACAAATTTTCCAGTAAAATCAAGAAGTGAAAATATAACAAGAAAATTCTACAAAATAATTTATCAGTTCTAGTGAACAATCAAAAGTTCATAGCTTTAATCCTATGCATTTAATGTAGCATTTTCAATAAATTTCACATATTGTTAAGTAGTTGGGAATTTAATTGAAGACTTTTGATAATCCACTTCAGGACTGATAACTTATATAATGCATACGTAATGCTGAATCCACAAAACCATTCAAAAACAAAAATCAAGGAATGTCATTTCATAACTCCCACACTTGCAATCTTTTCATATACGGTACACAAGTTGATTATTCTTGGAATGACTAGAAGAACCATTTAGTGGCAGCAAAACATTCATAGTTCAAAATGTACTGCTATCAGACACATTTAAAGACCACAATACTGTCATTAATAGATAGAGATCAATTGTACATATACATCCTTGCAAGAGGAAAATCCATTTTCATTACTAGAATTGATTTTAAGTAAATGTTTATGTATGCTGTTTAATGCAACTTCCATTATTTACTGCTTGAGCTAGATTTCACATTGTAAACATCTAGTCAGATAAGAACAAGAGCCAATTAATACAGTGTGTTTTGTGAAATTGCAATCTTATCCATTAAACATTACAATTTAATTCCTTATTAAAGATCACTTCAGTAAATTTCTTGAAGCTCTGTAACCTAGTATACATGTTATACCTTAGAACAAAAGCACACACCATAGGTAATTTGCACATTTTTCTGGTCACCAGTTACAGGCATTTTTCTACACACATGTTAACCATTTGTTAACACTTCTGTTTTGCACACTGTAATGGACTGCTGTACTTTTCCTTTGCCAGTAAGTCTAAACTATGGGAGGCTACCAGATCGAGCCTTAGAGCACAATTCTGCCAGTAGGCTCCGACATTTTATTTTTTCAAGCATTATTGAAAAATTTGTGGTATACATCTACAATATAACACATCATTTTTATAACAAAAAGTAAACAAGTTTGCAGATTATTCATTAAGAACTCTATTAATTTTATATAAGGAAGAAGGCTCAACACATACCAGAAATTTTAGGAGTAAGAACAAATGCATTTATGTTCTTTAAGTAAGGTACAATTTTCACTCAAAATCATAAAGCATTTGTAGACAAATATAACTACAATCTATTACACGTAATTGAAAATACACAAAAACCAACTAATTTAAGGAGGAAAAAATGTCATTAAGTCTTGGTGTTCCATAACCCAGTGACATGTGACAGTATTAATCTCTCACGTAGGATCTTTGTTTATACTATTAAAAGTTGTAGAATACATACATTCAATAAAAATAGCCAATTAAGAAATAATCGATTCAAAAACGAGTTCACATAAAGGAGCTATCCTATATTGCAAGTACTAATTAGGATATTTATTTTATGTAAAATTATTTTTACTGTAAGCTACAGATGAAATGATTATTTTCAAAGACAAATCTGCCTTATAATGATTCAAACTAGCGCTAATTGTTTTATAAAATATAATTACAATTTAATGTTTCAATGAATCTCCCAAGATGACATGGATATCTAAGACAAAGTGAATCAGAATATTTTTGTAATATTATTCTCAAGGCCTACAAATGTTCTAATAATTGAAAAGATATTAGGCTTACAACACACATCTAAGAAATACATGAATTAGAAATGTATATTTTGTTTATTTCTTGTTAAAATAAAGTTGAATTGATCACTATCACTCCAGTGTAATGACTGACAACACTACTAACTGATCAGCATCCCAAAAATTAGTTTAATTAATTAAATCCTTGAAATAAATTAAATAAAATAAACTATCTTGTTTAAAAGCACATAAACTACATACTTTCATTGAATCCGATCGTATGTAGAAGAGAAAGTAAAACACATTTATAATTTTCTGACGAGTATAACATTCTACCTAAATTGAATCTAAATCTTTAGCTATAAAGACTCATTTCATTCAAACCCAGAAAAACATTTCTCTAAGTTTTATATAGAATTTCAGTAGCATCACTATCACATCATTGAGGCCAATCTTTCACCTCTACAGATTCTTCTGAAATTGTAATGACCTCATTAAGAAACAGATTTGAAATTTTTAAAGTACATTTCAATTAACTGAGGAAAAACTACTGATGTGCAAGAATTAGTATAGTGTAAAATCCATGATATGAACCTTCTAACAAAAATACTTCACTGACCATTGATGCAGTACAACCTACCTCTTCTAAAATATTTCCGGTATTATGTACAAAGGCATATTTTTAAGAACAATATTACTCTAAATTCAATAATATACAAAACAATGACTTTCTGTTCTTCCCATAAGTAACAATTCAATAATCTCTATGCAATAACCATCTTACAAGCATGTTTACTACAATAAATAACAATCATAGGGTACTGATGCAACACATACACACTTTCATATTGCTGATATCTTTTCTCACTTAATAATTAAGGCTCTTTATTATGCTTCTGTATAAAAGAGAAATGCCACTGGCATAGAATACTTCGAAAATGATCAACATTATTTACACATTCAGCATTGTGCCAATTGACTAATATAGAAACATAACAACATAATTAACTTAACTACATAATATTACATCATGCTTTAATCTAACTCATACAATCTTTACAGTGAAATCATGATAAAGAGAATCATTTAACTGTCCTTTATAGGTTAAAAATTTGAGAAATTGGTGACTACGAACTATAGGCCAGTCTCCTTTTTAATATGTCAATGCAACTTCATGAACAAGGGAATAAAAATACACATACTTTTAGAGACAATTAATTCTTTCTGTGGCTTACCATGTCTGTCACCAATCACCCAAATACGTGATTAAAATGTGGATGCAGCATTACTGAGATTAGACAAGCTGCTGAGGAAATATTCTGGAGTCAGAACATGAGAAGAGCCTGCAAAAAATAAACAAATATTTGAAGTGCATTCCAACAATGGATATCTTTGGAGGGGGAGGGGGTGTTGGAGCACATATGTAAGATATAGCTTGAATACAAAAATTAAAATTTAGTAGATCACTGAATTTCTTAAGAAATAATGAACATCAACTTTGCTTTTATAAACAATTCACAAAATAAATCAAGACCAAGGTTTTCAACGATGTGTTCAAAGAATTGTATGACCCTATTATTTTCCATCAAAAACAAAAAAAATAGCTCACCAATTATGACTTCCCAATTCTTCACTGCATTAGTGACTTCATATGCACAACGAATTTCTGAGAAACATATTCCTCCAACAACAAAAACAATAATTCTTGGCACATTTTTCACAGTCTGTTGTGCTTTATCTTTGTGCCAATGACCATACCTTGCACTACACAGAAACAAAATAATAAACAATGTTTTTTAAAATATTACATAATAATACAGAAAATATTCTCCAAATTAAACTTGAAAATAATAATTTACACAATGTCACAATTTCCAATCTTGGTACCTACATTTAACAAACAATGATCTTTCTATAACTCCACTTAAAAATCTGAACTACTCTTGTTGCATTTTGTAAAGTTAAGTTTTTTCAGGCTATTGTAATATTCTACATTGTGAATACTTATATAATTCAAAGAATGAAGAATGTTATTTATACCTTGTGGGTGCATGGTAGCCTGAAGGAGCAGAACGACCTGCCAAATATGGGAAATGCTTCTGGTCTAATTTGTCTTCAATGCATTCTTCCATTATATCCTTAACAACTGGAGTCCAGCGAGACATCTGGTATGTCTGTTCAGTGATTCGTTCCTTACGAGGAACTTGGTACACTTTCTTGCGATTTCCCTATAATTAGACAATTATTAACCCATGTTTCAAAAAGTAAGTACCTAAAAAACTTAAAAGCCCTGGCTATCCAAGCATATAACGTAGCTTGTTGGAAGTTTAGTTTCACATCTAGAAGCACCACACTTCTGAAGATGTACAAATATTTAATCCATCTCAAATTTGATAGCAAATTACCAAAACCATCTTTGTTATCGAGTAGAAATGTTATTGATTTCTTAACTATTTTTTGAGATGGTTTTAATTAATTAACAGGAAACAAATAAAGAAAAAGAGAAGACTACATTTGGACAAAACTACACATAAATTAACAATTCAATTTCAACTTCAAAACTAATTAACTTGAGCTTGGACAAATACCTAAAGGAATTTTTGGCATTTATAAGCAAAACTTTAATGTCAAATAGCTGGCAAAATAAAAGGAACTGCGCAATGATGCAAATCAAAACGAGATATTGAGAGTATGAGGTGTCAGAAAATGCTAATACTCATTGGATTAAGTAAATTTAGAGAAATTTAAGATTTTATGAGCAGATAAATATTATAGGACATTGCTGATAGGGGACAAAACATGCTTGATGGCTGGTTACAGTGCGACAAGAACACATCGAGAAAGAAATATAACAATGAAACAAGTGAACTGGTTAGGCCAGAGAGAAGGTGTAAGTGAACAATTTGAGTGAGAATAATGTCAGACTTGGTAGGGTGAGGAGCAATGGCTATCAGGACATTGTGTAGAATTATTTCACGATTAGTCAGAACTATGCTGGATTTTTGAATTGGTATTAACATCTATTACATTTAAATAACTATAAAAAAAAACACAAAAAAACTATAACTGATTTTTAAATGCGTTTCAAATTAATTCACATGTCACAAATTGCATAAAGCAGTGTCCTCTGAACTTACAGTATTTAAAAAAATATCAAATCATTATTTTCATGTATTTATAAATTACAACAATTACTTTGCACAAACAATTATGGCTGAGAATACCCAGATTTTTTTTTTTTTGCTACAAAGACTGTTTTGTGTTGAGAAGATTTTAGGATTACCATTAAATGCTATCATATAAGATGCACATTTCCCCCCTCCCTCTCCATGAATAAAGCAAGTACATCTTTATGCCAGTTCTTCTCAGAAGGCAGTAAACATTCATTCTTGAAGTGAACAAGGCTATTCTAACTTCTCTGTGAATAAACAAGAAACATTTTTTGTTCATCAATAATCAAGATGATTGATTGATACATAGATAACTGAAGATTCTCCAGTACTTTCAAGCCAGTTTCATCTGATTAGTGTATGTAATTTTGATCACATAAAATGTCTATTTTGTTGCTAAAGCTGAATGGCAATTCTTTATTGTGTATGCAAATATACTTCTTAATTTACAACGTATTCCAAAGTAAATATATTTAATATTAATTTGAAATTTTGATTGAAAATAAAAGTGTGTTTCATTAATTTGCTAAAATAAGTTTTGACACGTGTAATCAAGTTCTTTTCTTGCAAAATTATACTATTTAAAAATGTCAGTGTGCCGTATACGGATGCAAATATGGTGAATTGCTTTCCCTGGCCTTTGTTTCTCATTGCAACTGAGCCAGACAAAATGGTTTTAACTTATTAACCAAACAAAATTTTGGTATTTTTTAGACATTCTATTGTCAGTATCAATGTGGGGACGGCTATTTGTATTTTCTCCTTTGTTGCGATTTTCCTGTACTTATGATGTTTGTTTTTTCAAGTCCAGTAGTCCAGTTCTGATCTCTTCTGTTTTCCTTTCTTCAGTATCCTTTTTGCCTTACGTTAACAATGTCTGAGTACTCGTGAAATTAGAGGAATATTGAAAAGAAGGAGCTCTTTTGGACTATTGGGAAGAAAAAAACTAAAACAGGTTTTGCTAAAAAGGAACTAGTACTTCAAAATGTGACCATTTAACAGCCCTCTAATGAAAATGGAATTGCAATACTTACATCAACAACAACATTAAGACCCAAATTAGCCATATTCAATATGGCTTGCTTCTCTTGTGGAAGAATCTGGGCATGTTGCACAAGTTTGTTCAAGTTTTCTTCACTGATGCCATTTTTGGACAAAATATAGAGAGCAATAATGCGCATTTTATCTGTATTATTGACACCTTGATCCAGCAGAATAGGTACAATGTTACGCATATGGTCCTTAATACGCTCACCTTCTGCATCAGTACCCATAGCTAAATCCTAAAATTAAACAAATCTTTATGTCAATAAAAGACAGATTACAAAATTTTATATTTTCTTGAGAATTTTTTTAAATTATAACAATTGCATGTCAGAAATCAAAATGTATAACAGTAGATTCACTATAGCAATACAAAAAGCCAAAACTCAAATATATATAGATACCTGTTCCACTTTACACAGCTTGTCAACATATCCTTGGTAGGCTTTCATGCAATCTTCTGCAAGGTGCAAATGAGTGGAATATTTACTAAGTTCTTTCTGATATTGGGGCATTTTCTTTATCATCTGAGACAAGTCACGCATTGACTGTCTATCTCCAGTAGGCATGCGTTTGGATTCAATGAATTTTTTCAAATTCTTTGTAACATTCCTGCAATTTCCAATAATGAAGGTTGAAAAGTAGCAATTTTGGCAACAGGACAAGAAACACTAACACTAGACTATTTTTCCGTATGAAATAGAAAAAGTGTAAAATCTCATTTAGAATTTATTTCCTTGAATATTAAGTTCACTATTTTGAAAATGAAAGATATATTGCTTAATTAAAAAAAGAAATTAAAGTTCTAAAAAAAGAAATAATAAATAATGTAGAAATCATGACAATAGCATATATACAATGCTATAAAATTATTGGAAATTATTAAGGAGTTCAATGATTCTGCTGATAAACAGATTTAAGCAACACCTACTGGGACACAACGGCAATATGTTGATGTCGCAGTTCCACCCACAGATCATCATTTTCATCTAATAGCACTTCTTTTTCAGGAGCTCCAGCCGTTGCCTCATACCTATTAAAAGTTTGATTTTTTCAGAATTATTATACTATTGAATTTGACAGAGCAAGGAGTAAGTATAAGTTTTGTATCAACATTAAAAGATAATTAAGACATAGGAATATAATATTTCATATGAATTTCTTTCTATTTCTATTCCTTCAATAGAGTTGACTTTTCACAACTATTACAACTAAAAACTACACAAATTTAAACACAATAATGTAAGAAAATATATAAGTATAGAAAAAAACAAAGCAGAAGGTCTTACTTGTAAACATCATTCTCAATTGGTATCAAATCATACGCCATAGCTTGCAAAGTTAACTCGTGGAGTAAAGGAGACACGCAATCAAATCCACGATCCAATATAAGTAATTGAGAACGTGCTTTCTCTGGCCCTTCACCCATTGTGGGCTCATCAGCTTTATAGGCATCCAATTTCTGCTGCACCAACTGAGCCAATTCAACATTCTTGTCAAAATCGCTACAAAAAATTACCAAATCAACTTTTTGTATTCAACAGACCCTTTGCAGCTGATGAGGTAAAAAGATCAAGGTTATTACCTTCGATAGCGGACAGATGGGTATTCACCCAAAGTGGCGCACAAAGTTGCAATCTGTTCAGCCATTCGTTCCATATTAGCGTTTCGTCCACTTGCGTAGGATGGGTTGGGATTGTAAAAGCATTGAAATGTATCAGGAGAATCTAATGAGAAAACCTGGCAAAAGCAATTACATTACATTTTAAAAATTGTAAGGAAAAGAAGAAGAAAAAACAAACACCCGCTTAAAAGACTCCTCTTAATTCTACTTACAAACTTTCCAAATACAAATTTGCTATTTAAAATAAAAATTGAAGCCAAAACTACAACTAATAATATTATACAAAGTTTCATTTACTTAAGGAAGAAGCTCAATATATTATCTATATATTTAAAAAAATCAAATACTGATTTTTCCAGTGCCCTGATATTTTATTTAATGGCCATCTCTCTCATCAGAAGGTATAACTTCCATGCAGAGATGACAAGAGATGAGAATCAAACATCAAGAGCCAGTGAATAAATAGTATTCTAAATATTAATACAATTAAACTTATTATTATACTTATATCAAATGTTTGAAGTCGTGGAATATATTTATACAAAAATAAAATCTTATTAAATAACTAATGTTATGTTGACAACCATTCCATTTTTCAATGGAATATTCCTCATCCAACAAGTGCAATTAGCCAAAGCACAGGTAGCAAAATTAAAATAAATGCATGCACAACCTAATAATTAGATCCACTTTCACCATTTCTTTATGCCTAGTTTTATTAACAGCATAGAGATAACTTCACGCTTTTTTATAGCATTCTTCACAGAAGGAAACCGAACCAGAGATATGAAATTCTAAGAAAAAACATGACATTCCTTTCAGAAACCACACCAGTGCTTAAAAATACAACAAAAAATAAAAATGTTTCAGAATTGTGCACATCAAACGAGTATTTCAATAATTTCTTTTGAAAATGGAAATTTCATGTGGATGGGAAGAAAATTAAAAACAATAAAAATTACTTTTAATGGTCAATATTACATAGTAACTCATGAATTTACAATTAAATATAAAAACAATCTTCAATATAAAATGATATTATTTAGCATTCCAGTTAGTGTGATCTAATAACCAACCTGACATTCGTAGGGCAAGAATGCAATGTTGATTTCTTTAAGCGTTTTAATTTTTTTTGCAGCACAGGACTTGCACAGCTCATTGAAGAGTTCCTCAGGGCATACTGCCGGCAAAGACACACAACACACTTGGGGACACGCAGACAAAGTGCAAACACAACACTAATGCAAAATTGAAACATTTTTGCTGCACAGATGTACTGGTCCTCCTTCCACACAATGCTTAAATACAAGAGTAAATGTTACCACAGAAAATAATGTGGAAAGAATGTTTTGTACACAACATATATAATATTAATATATTTTCCTCGTAGGGCAGATTAAGTTAATTGGGAAAGGAAAATTAGTAAAGGATGAGGATAAACACAGTATCAGGATTGACATCATGGACATTTCCAAATAACAAGACCTTGCACCAAAAGAGCATTCAATTAGTGAAATACCCAATTCAAACTTTGTTGTTAGTTAACTACATTCTATGGATGAAACAGTTTTTTGCTCTTCCAGACAGTATTTTAAAATATTTTGTCAATGTATCTTACCCTATATATGGTTACAATATTACAAACAGGGATTTTTATTTGCAATGTATACTCTGATACTATGGAACCCCAAAATTTACATTTACTGATATTCTTGTTGAGAAGAAACTATTAGAGATATCTGGCCTTCATGTAGAACAGTTGTTTTTTGTCATAATCATCATATCATTTAATTATTAGAATGCATTAATGTTGACGTGAGAATGACTACATGATTACTACCAAAATAATAATAAAAAAATCAATATAATAACAATTGATCAACAAAAATATATACATACAAAACATTGAGTTCAGAGCCTAAAGAAAACTTGCTAATTCCAAGTAGGTAAGAGTTGGAAATATTTTTATGTCATTTTTCTTGTTCTTATTTTTGTTTACAATTACAATATATAATTCTTACATTTGAAAATTATTTTATTAAATGAGACAAAAACTTTAAAGAATTTACAACCTACAATGGTAGTTAAGTTTGCAAGTCATTTGCGGCTACAGTATAATTTTAATTAATTAAAACCATAATATTAATTAAGAATTATATTCGATATACTGTCTGGAAGATTGTTAAGCAATCCACACTACAAGTACCAATGGTTATTGTATACAGAAGCCACACATAAATAAAACTACAAAGTTATACACAGTTCTGTGCCGTCTCATCATTCACACAAGCTGTGAGTACACAACACTGACACACTGCATTGCTGTAAAGCACTGAAATACATCTGAATGTTATGAACTTTGGATGAATTTTTACCTGCTCCTCATATGCTATAAAAGCAATATTAATCTCCTTAAGGGTCTTGATAAACTTTGCCACAGGAGCATGACATAACTTCGTAAATAGTTCATCAGGACAAGCTGTAACAATCCCATTACACAAACACTAGAACGAGAAATGTATGAAAATCACTGATACCAGAGGACAAAATGTTTGCTGAAAAGAATTCAGATTAATTCTTTATCAGAAGAAATTAAAAAAGCAACAAATTTCTATTAAAAAATACACCATTAATAATTTTGAAACTGACGGATGTCATTTCTTTGCACTTATTTACAAAAGCAGAAAAAAAAAAAAGAAAAAAAAAATTACACTATATGTTGAAAAACCTGAAAACTACCCAACTAATCTTCCATAAACAATGTGTTCTAATGATGCAAAAAATAACACTATCTTGGATGAGAAAAGAAAAATTTAAAGAGTGTTTTTTTCCAAATAATTCTAATACTTTATGATTAAGGCAATGTCTTACTCCCTCATATGATGTAGAAAGAAAGTATTGTAATGCTACAGGTAAAACTGCCAGTTTATTAAAATAAAAAAACTAATTTTGTGGTTGGTTAATATCCCTAACAATTTACCCGTCTTGCTCCTTTATTACTGTATTTACCAGAATGTAAGACAACCCCTTAACTTTGAGAAGGGTTTCTGTGAATTTTTGCATATTTAACTATTTTTTTTATTCAGTTAATATAAAATGGCAAATCGCTTAATTTGCTAGTACATTGTCCATTGATGAAAATTTAAATCCTTTTTAAACATCACTCTAAATTCTTGAAAATTAAAATCATTGTTTTGTCACTATTGTTTTCTTCTCCATGAGCACATTTTTCTTTTTTTCTGTTCCTTCTCCATGCCAGATCATCCTCTGAGTTTTTCGGCCCCCTCCAACATTTTGCACCTTCAATTAGCAGTTTTAATCTTTCATCTGATACTATCTGTGGCTAACGACATAATGGCATCACAACAGTTATGGTACTACATGTTTCTACTGAGACTATGCAGTTGCCTAGATAAGGAAAATTATTTTTAAGATGATTCAGAAAATTAACATAAATACACACATTTCTAGTTAAGCAAGCTGTAAGTCTGCATCAAATAATATTGAAATTATTCTCGATCAATATTGTTACTAACTATAAATGTGTAGAGTTCTTGTTTATCTTACGACATGAAAATTTATTTTGCTCATTGAATTCTTATTCAACAAAGTGTAAGTTGAAAACAGAACTTGTCCCCACACCACTGAACAACAGTCTCTTCTGTCACCAGATTTTTTCTTTTCATGCACTTGTTTGAGGCCTCTTCTTTCACAACCATTAATCCTTCACAAACATGGTGTGGTCCGAGATACCGCTGGCAATACTGCATTGCTTTTAGTTCCCTTTGTTGTGGAACATTCACAGGGTCTTTCCTCGTCCCTTTCTTGAAACTCCTCTCCTACTGAATGACGTCCCTATTGTCACATGATCCATCTTTCAGTATTGTTTATTGCCCACAGTTTCAAAAATGATGCGTTAATGGTCTGCAAGATTGCTTGGGTTGTTTGCAATATGAAGTCAATCTCACTGATAAGGTATGTCTATATAACAGTGAGTCAGCATTCACCTAGTAAATTCTTTTCAGATTTAGTTATGATCTTGAAAAACATTGTGGTAAGGAGTGCTTTTTAGACGGTTATTCTACATGATCAAGAAATTGTTCATCTTCTTCAGGAAGCTGACATTTTGGGCAGTTATGAAGAAATAGGGAGTGATCTGCCAGATGACCATCAATCGGAGTCAGAGGAGAGTGAACCTGATTGTGATTTAGAAGACATAAGTGGGAAAGATTTCTCTTCAATTGAGTTTTTTTATGGTAAAAAAAAAAAAAAAGCAATGAAGTGGCATAAAATGAAATGATCTCAAAACACACACTCATTGGCATAACATCATTCTACAACTTTTTGGACTGTGTCGAAAGATCAAAAATTTAGGTAATAATCCTGATATTGAATGTAAACAGAAACTGGTATTTGATTATGATAAAATGAAAGAAAAAATTATTAGAACAAATGCAAAATTGTTCAAATGAGACAGAAATTTGCTTCATCAAAACATTTATCCTATCTTCATAACATTGATTTCATTGAGTTCAAAGATTTCATAAGACTTTTGACATTCACAGCAATTTTCAAATGAAAACTCTTGACAGCTGGTTTGCAATTGACAGGGTGGGCAGAGATTTTTTTTTTTTTTGTACTACATCCAGAATTAGATTTCTGTCTTTTTTTGTCAACTCTTTGGTTTTATAATGCGGATGATTGGCACGAGAGAAAACCTTTAGATGCAGCTTCTTCCAATACATCCATTTTCAATAAATTCACAGAAGATTCACACGCCTACCTATCACTCGGTCTTTCAGTTTATGTAGATGAGATGCTACTACCATTTCATGGATGCTTCAAATTCCAAGTTTACATCCTGGAAAAGCCTAAAAAATATGGACTAAAACAAATGTGATTGACTGACACTAGAAATGGTTGCCTTTTCAATGCACATATCTACGCAGGACAGGTGTATGTAGGAACGACACTTTCAGCTGACGAGAAAAGACTCTAGTGTTCCTTGGCAAGCAGTAATCAGACTGGTAAAACTAATAGAAAAATCGAAAAGAAATGTTACAGTAGATAATTGGTTAAGCCCCTACAGATTGTGAAAGCATTACAGAAAAGAGAGATAGCCTATGTGGACACCCCCAAGAAAAACAAATTAGATATGCCCACTGAATTTTTTCTCTCAGATACAGAACAATCAATTCATCTTTGTAAGGTTTTTGTGAAGATACGACAATTTTATCACATGTGCTTAAGAAATCCAAAGCAGTGATTCTGATATAATCAATGCACCATTCTTTATCAATTGATCAGGAGTTGGAGAAACCTGAAATAATTATTAGGCAAAAGGAGGAGTGGAGAGTCTAGATCAAAATTGTGTGCATTACTCTGCAAGTAGACGTACCAGAAGATGCCATATTGTGATATTTTTTACCCTGATATACAAAGGCACAGTCAATGCTTATTATGTCATTTTCCAATCATTCAAAGACACTCTAAATGTAACTTGTTTGAATTTTATGAAGAAGCTTGCAAAAGCAATGGCATACCATGATGGAGTTCAAGCTGCAAAACAGAACATTACCTCAACAATTATCTAGCAGTACTGAAGTCTGACTTTAAATATTTTCCGTAGTTTAAAAGTAAATATTCCACAACAAACAAGCCCTCTTATGAATCCAAAATCATTATACTTCTCCGTAATAAAACTACCTTCTAAAAACCACATCCAGCAAAGTCTGATGCCCTTTTTTCTTTCTTACTTTTTATTCCATCTACTTTTATTCCACCATATTACTCCATCATGGTATGCCATTGCTTTTGTAAGCTTCTTCATAAAATTCAAACAAGTTACATTTGGAGTGTCTTTGAATGATTGGAAAATGACATGCCTTGACTGCGCTTATGCTATTACTATAACAACATGAAATCAAGTTTGACTGTTCCAAATTGCACCGCACAGCTTGTTATGTGCTCATGCTCATAACCATACAAGAAATTGTTCGTGTCGCATCCTCTTATGTCCTAAGCGTTTCTACCCAAAGAGAGAGACAAGTCTCCCAAATGCCAATGAATGAGGAATTGCCAAACAATTATGAACAAACGTTATGTGTGTAACTTCATTATATGAATTTTTTAGCCACAAGTTCATTGGTAGGAAGTGATCATCAACTCCTCCTATACAACACAAATTCATAATCTTCATTCTACAATATTCATTTACAGAAAATCTATACAGTCATAAAAATTAAGTATCATCAATATTATAAACCTCCAGAAATAACTATTTATATTTATGAACCAAAAGACTATCAAATAAAAATTTAAATGACATTTACTTCTCTTGGCAGCCTTGTTATTATTACGATTTCATATTTTTGTAACAAAAATTCATCAATTACGAGCACAAGAAATTTGAGAAGAAAAACAAACCTAGGCGTAACAAAAAAAAGTTTTAAAATGCAAAGATTATACCTTCTGTGAAATAAACATGAGCTGCCTTGTACATGCCACGATTTGGAGATTCAAAATCTTTAATGAGAGAATGAACAGACTTCTCCGATGGAGTAATGAGGTACACTGCCTCCATTGTGGCAAGAGGTTCTCGTTTCTTGTGCAAGTCTTCAACAACTGCAAAAATATACACGAATTAGAATAACTAAAATGAACATAATATATACATATTCATATAATTGTTAAATATTATTTTATTTCTAAAATTTTAAAAATTCTTTTAAAATTACAATAATACAATTTTAATTTTTTCTGTTTTACAAAAGCTGGTAAAGGTCAACCAATCAATGCAATTTGTAAGATTATAGATAATCAACAACCTATATTTTTCTTGTGCTTCTATACAATTATTAATGTCACTTTAAACACAAAGATCTTTGCAATAATAATACGCTTATTAAAATGAATCAATATCTTAGTACTTGTAAATCTATTACCAAAAAGTTCAAATTTCACAAATCAATACATTTAACTGAAAATGTGAATTTGTGTTTGAGAAATGAATATTAAGAAAATTTTATTGCAAATATTACCTGCTGTAAGAATATTCTGTTTTCAATCTAAAGAACACTAAAGTCATAAAGAACACAAAATAACCTATATTAATACGGCAGAAGGTCAATGTCACATTTATTCACAAATATCAACTCAATGGAATTATTTTCTGCACCACAAACCATTTCTAGACCAGCCTTAATGTTTTCAACTGTGAAAAATTCTTTGAAATAATAAAACAGCAAAAAGAAAAAGAACAAAAAGGAAAAGAGGAACAAAGAAAGAGGAGGGGGAAGAGAAGAAAGAAGCGGAGAAAGACTAGGAGGAGGAAAAGAAGTATAGGTACTTACTGGTTATTCCTTCAGCAGAGATTTCATGCATCTTACAGCATGCTGAAACCATTCGCATTGCAAGTTTATCAACCACAAGGACTCTCCATTCTACAGCACTTGATCCTGCCTTTTTCTTACTTTTAATCGCTTCATTCATAATCTCTGAAAAACAGATTAAACAAGTTATTGAAATATATTAGTGACAATTGCTAATTGAATTTTGGCATTATGAAGTTCACCTAAAAAATTTGAACTTGAAATGCACAAGTTTTTTTACACGAGTTGATAGAAAATGGGGAATACCATATCAAAAGCTTTCAAAAGTTCACAATTAAAGATTAGCAAGAAGAAATCAAAAACATTTTCCATCATCTGTACAAAAATTTGAATTATCTTTTAACTATATTAAATACCACAAATATATTACTAATAGCTGGATCCGTGTGACATCTCCGCACTTTATAAAAAATTGTTTTAAAAGAGAAAATAATTTCATTCGAATGGCCAACTATTTCATTCCAACGGAACTGTGTACCAACATTGTAGGCCCACTATTATGTGTGACTAACCATTCCAGTATTACAGTGTTGAGATGAAACTGCATTGAAAAATCTAACAGTCCCTTTACTTTCATGTCTTTTTTCTTCAATTTAAATTTACAAAAATTACAGAATATGTTTCAACGTAAAGAGTTTTCAAATACAAAAATCGGCGATTTTTCGTCAGAAAAACTGATTGTGTGGCCCTAAAAATAAAAACAAAAAGGCTAAATCTTGTACCAATATGGAGTAAAATACTCCCTTACTTTCTCAAAACCACGCCCAATATTATTTTTAACACATTTTCTTCCTATGGAACAAGGAACCGTAGCAAAAGCGCAGATAACATTTTTGGCAAATGGCATATTTTCGGAAACTGCAAACAAAAACTTAACATTGTAAAAAAATGACACTACTGATTGCTGTTTAATTTCTGGCTACCGCTTAAGCGGTGGAGAGAAAGTTATGTAATGATCCGCGAAAAAACGGCGAATTTTCGGCAGAAAAACTCATTACCGGGCACCGTGTATCGAAAACGTTGATAAATCCAGTTCAGACAATTTTCTCGAAAATTATTTCCCAAACTATCTGGTTGACGTCGCAGCCCCCTGAATTTGAAACTTATTTTCATTTTAGGGAGGAATTTTACAGTAGCTTATGGGAGATTTTCAAAATAAAACAAAATGGCCCAAAATTCGTTTTTGATTAAATTTTGTTATTGGATGGAGTGAAGAGAATGGTGTAGGCCTCATTTTAATTAGAAAATCTATTTTTTTTCTTTTTCAAAAATTTAAATTTTTTTCAGCGTCTTCCTACAACTACTATTATGGAGATATATTTCCCCCTTAATAAAATCTGTTCCCCAAAGATAGATTTTGAACTAAGGTTTTGTACAATTTTCCGAAAATATGAGTAGTTTTCGCGAAATTTTGCGTGAAAGTAGGGCGAGAAAGCACGTGGTTTTACCTCAACTAGTTTTCTTACGTTCCACTTTTTTAAAGCGCCGGGAAGGTTGAGTAGCAAGTATAGTCCTGCAAGTTGGGCAGGTGGTGTAGGTAAATGGCGAGCTGACTACGGATCTAAGTTCGAATTCCACTGCCAAGAAAGGGGTTTGCTGGTAAGAAGCAAATAATGCGAGAAAGTACGTGGTTGTAGCACCCACAAACTAGCTTTACAGTTGCCTGGCTCCTTGTAAAACGATTGTATTAAAAAAAGAATATTATGAACTTTAATTCCGCAAATAAAAACGTTCAACATGAAAGAACCAGCCCGAGACGCCACACTAAACTAGTTGGGCAACATTTCTTTTTAAAAAATGTAGGTTTACGTTTTCTTTTGAGTCATCTAATGTGCAGAAGCGGCTCGCAACTGAAAATGAGTTGCAATTACAATTCGTCAAAAGTTCATAAAGTTTCCTTTTTTGTTGACTAAAAATTAAATCTATGCGTCGCTCTAATTTCCAACAAAAGACGATGACTCTTCAGTTGGAAACCAGTAGCGGATCCTTGCTGTAGTCAAGGTAGACCTACCCTGATGAATATAAACTATTATTACACTTCACACATAACACATTTGAAATGAAACAGTTTTTGAGAAGTATGTTTCGGAAGAATATATAAAGTAAACTTTTAATTATTGTGTCACGTAGTTTCCATTGCCGTTAAAATCACATCAGTTCATAAGGCCTATATTCCGGCCACTCTCCATGGCCTTAACGCCTGAAGCAGGCCGCTCCAGTCAATCGACTCTCGCGAGTACTCCAGCGTGCGCACACGCGCCGTTCCTTGTCTCTAAGGCCCGTGGAAAGAGCTCCACATCGCAGAGCCAAAGCACGCGACCCTCTCACAGCATGGGGTGGCAAAACGAGCATCCACACAGATTCCATTACACCCAAGTGCGAATCATCTACGGTTCTGGGGTCCCCATTGACAGCATGCGCCAATTACGCGCTTGACGTCCTCAACTTCCTTTTGGCAATCGGGCTATTATTATTTTCCTGTTTATTAGGCCACGACGCCACAACTAACTTCCAGGGTCAGAACAATAATCGATTCCCTTCACGATGTTAGTATATGTAAATTATCGAGATTCTAAAACAAAATTAAAACCATTTCAGATATTAATCAAACTTGAGACGGCAAAGTATACGTGTTTCAAATATAACAATGTGATAATTTGGTCGACGTTCATTATTGTTGTCCTAAATCCTAAAAACTGTATTCGAGTAGCGTGCACCCGTCCGTAATTCACGGTTAGAACCCTTCTCGTCTACCAATCGAGGCAAACGAGGTATCATTCGAAGGATTTCGACCACCTGTTTAGGGACCTGATGATTTGTTTCCGGATCCAGCCAGAAGATCGTAAGAAGTTTCTCCATTTAACGATTTTCAGTTCTGCGATCTTGGGGAGGTCGCGCAAACCTAATGCCCCAGCGCTGTTGCCTCAGAAAGCGCCACCATGGAGGACTGACGCCACAACCAGCTGTGATGACAGCTAAAATATGACGCCAATAAGTGGGTGATTAACACAGTTCGTGTGAGATTGTAGAGCTCCGCCGCAAGTTTACATTATGCGGGTTAGGGTTTTGATCACTCGAAAGGAAATGGTCCTTCGTTAGCGTTGCCACCCCTTAGGATAATCATTGTTTTTATAGGATAATTTCGTTATGTGTGGTATATACGGTAGTGCTAATGGGATGCTCCCCCTTTTGTAGGATAATTTCCAGTGTAGAATTCCATCTTAATATAAATATTTAAGAATGGAACGGTGCTTTTAAGAATGGGAGCTTTCAATTGTATAAATTTCCTTTAGTAAGCCGCATGATAAAATGCTGACAGAATGTACTCCTCACAACTCTTCTGGGAGCGTTAGAACTGGGTTCTTCAACACTGTATTATAGGGTGCGTTGTGGCGGTAGCCAAAAAGAAAATCCAACAAGAAGAGTTGCGTCTCACTTTTTTTTTTTTGTAATTTATTTAATTTTAATTATAATACATTATTTTTTTGTTCTTCACCCCAGGAAGAAAGTACTAAACATAACTGTGTGTTTGAAGTTTCTTTTTATTTAGAACTTTGATAACCTTTTAACATAAAAAATAGTTTAAAACAAAATAAAGCGTCGGCAGCACCACATTCAATTAGTAATTAAAATAATCGAGAAAACTGTCCGACCGTCGCTTGCAGTTACACTGCGGTCTACCTTTGGGGCAAATTAGGTTCGACCTTTCCACAGGTTGCCTGATAACTTCTAAAAGATTTTAGCAAAAGAAATGCGGGAAATTCGAATTTACAATTTCGAAGAACTTAAAAATTATAAATACTACTTTTTTTTAATGTACATGGCCTTATTTAAAGATCTAATTTTGATGAACATATTTCATTAAGTAAAAAATCTCTATCTATATTGTGGGTTTTCGATTTTTCCCCTTCAATTTTCCAAAATACGAAGGGTTTGTCGAAAACGGGACTTTTGCCATTTTTATACTCGTTCTTAGCTCTATTCCAGAACAAAAATTGAAGAACAAATTTGGAGCAGTGTTTTAGAAAATAATTTTTCAAAAACTGTGTATGCTGCACACCAAATTAACAAAACCTGCTGGTAGTGGGAGACGGCCAGAAGTAGCGATCAGAATAAAGCATTGTGTTTTCTTTGTAGTATTCACAGATTCATCTGAACACAAGCATCGTCTATCCATACTTTTCCAGGTTATTCTTTCCAACAGAGGATAGAAGAGGCAGACAACTGCAGTTTGTACGCCTTTACAATTTAATTTTATTAAGAACTTGCATAGCACAATTTTTAACAGGAAAGTACCCGCGACAGCGTCATGCTCAACAAGTTTTGATTCATACCTCTTGAAAATATACAAGTGCGAGGTTCCCAACGAATTCCAACTCGAGAAATAATCAAATAATCTTCCAATAATATTGTAACTCAAGTAATACTCAAATTAGGTGGTGCCGTATTACATTTGTGAGATATGTTGCCACGAGCGCGCGGTTCGGCGGAAACGCAATGACGTCTGCGATATCGCGAAAGACAGATGTCGCGGGACATGCAACAACCGGACGTTGAACGTGGTAATACATTGTATTGATGGTTGAAGCAAGTCGTATGAACGTTGCAAGTAGCAAAATGCGACTTGCAAAATACAATTTCAAAAATTCATCATTTTTTGTCACTTGGCTTATTTTTTAATGTGCCATACATCAATCGTATTTCAATCTTCTTAAACCGTAAGATCGAAAACACTATTAATTTATTGCAAGGATATCTACTGAAGTTAGGTGCGCCAAACAGGTAAATTCAGTACCGGTAGTGTGCATCTGATTGAAAGCACCCAATGTGTTCACCCTAGACACATTTTGGTCTTTCTACATTATAAGACCAACTGTTAAGATATGATGTAACTAACGTGATATCATTTATTAGGTATTTGCATATGAACATTACATTCCCATATTTCGATAATCAACGATATTTAGCTCCACAATGGTATTTTCCTGCCATAAGACGCAGCCTGATAATTTTCATCCACAACAAAGTCAGCAATCTGTTGAAGAAACACTAATAATGAACTACAAATTCGTTGATGAATTTTAGCGAGAATTAAAAGAGATTGCTCAAGCTGATCGATAAACACCGGCTAATTAAACATATTTTTAACAAATACATAAATGTCAATTTCGACTCTCAGAATAAATTCGATAAATATATTTTTGATAAAATAACGGCATTTTGCTATTTGTTGAACCTTCAGATCTACAAAAACCAAACCAACAACAAAACACCTATCCAAATCCATTTAATCCATATATGGTAGGGGATGACCTCTAATTTCCGTAAAAATAGTATATGGCAAGATGCATACTAAATTGTTATGCCAAGATAAATAGTGGAAATCAGTAAATATTTTGTGAATAATTGCTACAATAAGACGAAGCGAACGAATTCTTATTTAAATGCTCGCAGCTGTTCAGTAGGCACTAACTTCCATCACAGGATTCTCTAATTGGCATTTCCAATCAAACTCCAGGTATCCTAAGGAGAAGCACTCCTTATTTCCAAACTGTTCGATCTTTCGATTAAATGAGTGTCGCGCTTATCCGACTTATAACCATGCAACAAAAACAAAAAAAATTCCAAGTTTACAAACAACTCGCAAGTTGATGCAACATTCTCAAAAAATCTCTATCGTACAAAAGTTATTTTCAAGGTGTATTACTTTTTTTCTTAGAAAAGGAAATAATCAGTGACATGTGTAAAACGCAGATCTCCCTCCGTTCAGTTTATACAGAACTAGAGCTAATATTGATCTCCACAGCGTCTGTCGACGTCACTTTGGCACTGCGCCAAACTTCAGTATCGACCAACAATACTCGTTTACGAGATGCTGAAGATCGTGCAACACGTCGTAAATGTGTTCATCTGTTAGCGATTTCATCTTCATTAGAACGTGTTTTCGGAAATTAGCACCCACTGTCTTTCAAACTTCATAAAATAATTATTATGATTATATTTTCCCCACTCGTCGTACGATGTACCCTGTACCCTGCAATCGTATCAAAACTCTATGTAAATGCACACAATCCACGTTTGCTGTTTATTGAGTGACCTCACCACGATAGGTGTGCGAGTCATTGTTGATGATTCACTCTCATCAGAATGAAATGTTAATCTAATTCGGATATAAGATTTTGTCACCTTTGAAGGGAACAAGTTTCACTTCCATGTAAAACATTCCTCTTGAATCAAAATAAAAGCAAACACTTCATTGGATAATTACATTCCACACAATCATTAAATAATATGTAAATAGTATTGCTTAGCCCTTACTTAGGGTTAAACATAGTCAAATGTCATAAAAAAAGTGTACGATAAAATACCTTTAATAAAGGCAAAGGAAAAAAGTAACAGGAAAATAAACAGTATAACTAAATCACAAACTAGAAAATAATTATTACATTTAAGAACTGTCCAAAGACAGTGGAACAAAAATACGCTAAATCTGTGCATTACATATGTGCAACTTCAGTCATGGAAACAAAACTTATGAAAAAAGTACACTGGTTTTGATTTGCTTTCCCTAAATATTAATAAAAAAGGTGATATATTGAAAAAAAAAAACTTTAGTTTATCACGACTAGTCAATACAAGCCAATCAACCTGGAAACATTAACTAATGTTAAAATAAATCGCTTTCTGAAGAGCAAAATCCTGATAATTCAGGGGTTTTCCATTGAAAATGTTATTAAAATCGTATAAAATAAATTGACATACTATTGACTTATAATAGAGGAGTTAACAAAGTGCACAAAGTCATTTGCAGTTATTTGAGAACACGGACATTCTATTAAATTGTTTATTTACATTTTCTGTATGCAAGTTTTAATAGACTTTACATTTTTTTATTTTTTATTAGCAGACACTGAAAATGTCATGACCTACATGACAGAACAAAATCAACTGCTATAGTAAGTAGTACCTAAGCAAACTGTCATGAATATGATACATATATTTTCATTAAAATATACAACGAAGGACAGTTGTTATTGCTGAAAATAGTTATAACTCTTACTTACTTTGACCGACCAATGCTTTTAACGCCATCTTGCCGACGATACAACGCCCACTGACTCACTGACACTTCAGCACTCACCACAGCAGCCTTGGGCTGTGCGAACCAACGTTCTGAGAGCGCTACTCTGTTGTATAGTACGTTCTACAGTAGATAAGCAAAATGTAGAACTACTGTTTCTCTTCGTTATATAACAGCTCTATTTGCGCATGCGTAGCTCGGATCAATTTATGACATTCACATTCTATCGAAACAAAATATACTTCCCTTTTCTCAGGTCTGACAATATAACTATAAAGAACGAGTGGAGCAGGAATGGACTATGAGAACAACCATTCCCAGGTGTCTATTGGCTGCTCATCTAGAGAGAGAAAGTTGTAGATTTGTTTCTCCATGATGCACGCATGCGCTTCAAATGTTCTCCGTACTACAGTCGCAACATTTTGAATGAAATGACCAATGAAAAGGCAAATGCCTGCCGCCCTGGTGTTGCGACGAACAAGAGTGCATGCCTGCAGTGCTGTGCAGTGCAGAGCGTGAGCACATAAGAGGGATTGCACATTTATATGTTTATTTTACACCGCACAAGGCGGCTGGTGTATCTATACTGCACTGCCTTCCACTTATAACTTTGTATTGACCTTTTTTGTCGTCAGTACTGTCAACATCGATAAAATATTTTCTGAATTTCAATAAAAAAAAATTAAAAAATAAGGGTAAATAAAATGCAATGCAACGGCGAACAAGCAAAATAATTACTACTTTCCTCACTCATATTTTAATTTCAAATAAAGGCGAATATGTTTTGAAGATCAATTGACTCTCAAAAGTCTAGACATTAAATGGAAGGGGGGTAAAAAGTCCTGTTAGGAAGAGGGGGGGGCGGGTGTAAAAATACAACTTTGTAGGTTTGGTACAATTAGGATTCGATCCTGTCAAGTCTGTACAATTGAGAGCCTACTGTAAAATTATTAAAAACAGTGCAGCAACAAGAAAAATAAAATTATTCATATCAGAAATAAATTTACCAACGATAAAAATTAATGAAAGGAGACAATCAGTGGCTGACTCCGGCAAACATTACTTCCAAAAAACTCATCCTGTCAAATCATGTGTTTCATTACATCTTTGAGGTATGATTATGTTACAGAGTATATGGAAATTTATTGGGTAATTATTAAAATAAATGTCCACAATGTCAGAGTAAAATAATTATAACAAGAATTTAAAACTAAAGAATATATTAGATTTAATATACATCGTAATGTAACTTATCATCAGTTTTATTAGCATAATAGACACAACCACACCAATGATCTACAAAGTGTGTAGATCCAAGGTGAAATAGTTAGAGGAAGTAACTTGTTGCATCATGAAAATTAATGTAGCTCTCAAGAAATATTTAGTAAAGTTTTCATCACAATAATTTGAGTAACACTAAATTAAAATTGTTGTTTAACACACAAATACAAATTCTTTATTCACATTTTGATGAATTACATTTACTTTTACTCTCTGAACTTAGCTTTTACTGCTGCAGGCAAGGGTACAACATACAACAAACAATTAAATAAAATGAAGCCAACTGAAAAAGCAAATGTGATTCCAAAATTTAAGTTAAAATCTAAGAATTCAGTGAGAGAGTCATCTGCATCTTCTCTTCCATATCGTTCTATAAGAAATGCATTTCCATTCGCATATCGACACCCAAATGATGGTGATGTACCGGTTATCAAATCTGATGGTCCTTGAAAAGCAGATGTACAGTTATGAAAGACATCCTTTGGCAATGTCACAAAACGTTTATCAAACATTTGTTGTGCTAAAGTTGCACCTGCGTAACGTGACTGTGTGGCATACGTTAAGTAATATAGCCACTCTAGTAAACCTCGGATAGATCTGAAAAGAATGTAGATTAATACATTATAATTTTTTAAAAACATTAAATAAAACTAAAATTGTAAATGAAATGTATATTGCAACGAATGACTCTAAAAAAATGTATGGCACACCATTTTAAAAAAGCGTTACAAAGTTACTTTAAAACGTCTTTTAAGAAGTCAAGATTCTATATATTTACCTGGCTTTGACATAGATACTCAAGTCTTTTTATTTCAATTGAAAGATACAATCATGAAAAATGAATGGTAAATTAAATGATTAATTTAGAAAGATATTCCTAAATTTTCTATTGAGTTAATAATCAGACATGACTGTTATAATTATGTAAAAAAACAACAACATTGAAACAAAAATACCTTAATGTGCCACTTCCCAGAAGTAAAATCACTATATGAATGTAGATACTCGTTACAGCTGCAGTGAACGAGCTTTTCACCACCATCAAGAGAGCAATTGTGAGTTGTTCTGCCATCAAATGGCAAGCCCAAAGAATCCCACCAAACTTCAACCATTCCACTGGATCTTGTAAACCTGTTAGTCTAACATTAATGTCAACATTGTTACATGTGTTGTAATTCTAGAGTGTTAATACTAAAGGAGTGTTAGGTTAAAAGAGTACAAGTCTAAAAATGTTCAAAAGGAGAATCTTAAGTTCAGCAAAATATAATAGTTTTTTTTTGACTGAGAGTAGTATTTTTCTGACGTACACTCTTTTCACCTGACACTTTAGGATCTACAAAACACTTAGAAAATGAACCAAATTCCTAAATGTTTAATCTAAATCCCAATATAAATAAGAAATCTTTTGAAAATCACAGATAGGCCTTCAAGTCTATGCAGCTTTTAGTTAACACAATCTGTGGAATTAATACAATCTGTGAAACAGTCTATGAGTTCAGCCTAGAAATCATTTCTTTCTTACTCATTCTATAGAGAGGAGTGTGCTTAAAAAATTACCTTTCCATTTTATTTTAAGAGGTGAATTTGATAATTAAGAATAAATTGATTAACCAAGTTTTAGGAGTATCTTAACATTTTTATCTTTTTAATAAACAACATTCAATGAAGATATGAACTCAACAATTTATTTATTATCTTTCTAAAGATACCCACTCAAAGGTTATCCGGGAAGCAGCTGCCATTGATATAAGAGAAAATGGCAATGAAAACAACAGGTAACTTAGAATAAAGAGCGGTCCACTGTATAATCCTTCTTGTGCTTCCTGATAATAGCGAGTCCGATGTGAAGGAACTGGAAAATAAGCAGAAAATGAGTAGAACAAGTTTCAATTCAAATAAAATAGCAAAATTATTCTTCCCTTTATCACATACATATACAAACTGTTGTAATGATTGGAATAAAGTATGATCCAGCCAAACAATTAAAAATGAGACCATTTCTTGACATGAAAGTCCGCTGATAATTCTGAAAAACAAAAATTGTCAATGAGCCTAAAAATGTCAGAAGTTATTATATAATTTAGAACTACTTATGCATTTTGTTGTACCTCCATTCCCCTGAAGAAGATCCACAGCAACAAATGAAAGAATGGATGTGCTAGTAATCGCAGAGATATTTGCATTAATCCAAAAGTTCGTAAGTTAAACATTGTTGCCCAGCTTCTCCTGCGAAGAAAAATAGGTAAATATAATATTAATATGAGGGAGAGATATTACACACACACACATTAAAAACTGTATGTGACACACAGGAAGAAGTACAATGTGGAAGAACCTGCACAATCTGTACATGTTTTTGTGAGCTCTTAATAAGTAAATCATCATTCTCTTAAAGAGTCATTCAAAACACAATAAAATTATTGTAAAATATAAAACAATGTTTTTTTAATATGTCCTCCCTTCTTTGCAAAATTTTCAGAATAAAAAATAGAAGGCAGTTAATACACAAATTTATCAAAATGAAGCAAAAAAATTATTCAAAAATTGTATTTATTTTTCCAACTATGTTATAAATGGATAAATATTTATATTTTGCAATTTTCTTACAAGCTATCGACAATGAAAATTGCAGAGAATTAGGAGTTTTTAAAGACCATTATTGCAAGTAAGTCTGCTTGAATTCTACATTTTAAAGAATTCTAAAAATCTACAGGGGCTTATTCACAATGGAGGCCAATATATGAAAAATATGGTATACTCATTGCTTAATATCTTTCTACATCCAAACAGGCATATCACTCTGAGGAAGGTAGCATTATGACAGCCGAAACATTGGCACCTGTGCCGGGGATGCACCACCTCCTCAACAGCCAAGTAGATACAGACTTCAACTGCAGAAGCCTTCACTTTCTTTTTTGTATGGTTCTGTTAGAGAGTAGAAAGTTACAACAACACATATCTCCAAAAGAAATGGCTTAATGTGACATTTGAACTCATTACCTCTCCGGCCAAGAAAAACAGTTGTAAGTGCTCTTAGCCACCTTGGCCATAATTTTCGCCTTATCTTTAACATATTGATATTTTTTATAATTTGCAAAGAATTAAGAGAGTTCAAATTAATTCAATATTACTTCATCCACCCTAAGCATTATTCAAATGATAATCATCACTTGCAGTACTTTTTGTAGAATATTTACAAATAAATATTTCTTATTGGTTGATTGAGGTTAAAGGATCCTTCACCATCTGTGGTTAAAAGACTCTTTTCAGCCGAATCACTCTGGTGATGCATTGAACTGATTGAAATCTGGGACAGAATAAGCATTAACTTACAAGAAAAGGGTAAGAGACACATGAAATGCTCCAGGTCTTCCAAATGCTGATAATGGAACTTTATTTGATCCTATTGCTCCTCCAGCATGTAATGGATCTGGAGGATCCACAACAGTACGACCAGACAGTATTGCAGAAGTTTTGCGGAAAGGACCCCCTTCCATTTTGAACTTTTCAACAAGGGCAGCAATTTGGTGATTAGATTCAATGAAGCGTTCTCTTGATCGTCGATCAACTGTTGAAAGGCAAACTGGAAAATAAAAAACCATATCTTGGAATTAATTAATATAATAGATAATTATCATTCTTCTTTTCATTTAAATATAACACTACATTTCATAACCATTTTCATTCGAGATTACTTTAATTATTACTATTCAATTTTTTTTATTCTTATAAATAATATTGAATTACAAAAATTATATGAAGTCAATGAAATAATTATTTTAAGTTAACAATACATTTTATTTTAGATACGTATTCATTCAGACGATAATTTATTACCTCATCCTTGCTTACGCCACATTGATTTGTTACTAAATCAAAATCTCAAGAAAAAAATAAAATTAAATATTACATCATAGTCTAATGTAATTTTTGTATCTTGTATTAAATAATTAATCTATGAAACACTATCAAAATCAATAATTCTTTTTCATACTAACATAATAATAATAATAATAATAATAATAATAATAATAATAATAATAATAATAATAATAATAATAAATATAATATGTTTTGTGCCAATTCTAAGCAGATGTGAGTGCAGCCCTTCAAACAACAAGCTACAGATCACCGATGATCCTCCTTCCCAAATCTACCCAATACCACCCCTTGATCTAGTTTAGGGTAGATTTTCTATACCATTGCAGCTCATTCCTGGTGAAGTAAAAATACGTGCAGTATGAGTATGTGGCTGTTGACTAAGGCTTAAACTGGTCTATAGCACAATGGAAATAATATAAGGAATTGCTTCATTAGTATTTTTAATGTTCTTCCCAATAGATGAGGTTTTGCTATTATATGCATAAGTGTAACACACTTGGGGGTCAGGAGGAATGGGCCCCCCTCCACACACACTCCAATAAGTTTGTAACAAAACTATTTTTTTTTAGTCCTAGTTGTCAAAGCATAACTCCAAATACCTTCAAATGAACACAGTTGAAAGCATTGAGAGTGCTTGAAAATGTGGTTTTAGTCATTGATTTTTTTCAACATTTTCCAAGTGGGCTTTTTAATATTCTGTACCTTACCTATTGAATTGTTCTCCATAATAATTTGGTGTTGATGATGCTCATGGCTCCATGCATCTAATAAGTATTCGAACGAAAAATTACTTCCATATTTCTTTATATTCATAAGAGCATGCAGTCACAAACAAAAGAAGGGGTCACCTACATTTCTGGTTCCCCTTTCCTATATAACTTATATATCTTATAACGTATTACATAACTTAAATATGTCCATAACTTATGCTATATATTTCTAGTAAATAAATAAAGCCTATTACAAGGAGAATAAACAATAGCTTTAATGATTTGATTATTAAATGCAATTGATTTTATGTTCAGTCGTTTACAGAATTCCCAGATGGCTTGAACTCTCTTCCCAAATGTCATAGTAAAATTCTCCAAATTCTCAGTTTAAAAATGGAAAATCAAGCACTGAACATAGATAAAATGTTTTATTATGGTGCCCTCTTTCAAAATTTTCAATTGCTCCTGTTGGAAAATTATGTACATTTATATTAGAAAAATTGTATTTACTGACATCTATAGGATTACTGTGTAATTAGTGTCTACGTATGTAAGTGTATGCACAATGCACATTTGATTATTCTTGTCCTAAAGATTGAGCTGTATGGATGTAGCCTGCGCACACACCAATAAACAGAGTTTGTAAGTCCTTGTGTTCTTATTTTATTTAACAGCTCCATTAGTCTGTATATATTTATTTTCTTCACAGAATTCAAATTAAAACTAGTTACATAAACAACTCTAATAACACTGGCAACAAAATAAAAAAAGTTATCAGACCCAAAGACTTGGCACATGTTTCTCTATGTGTATCAATGTGCTGAAACTGAATTTGAAACCAGAATTGTGTCACCACCCCACAAAAGTAGTTAAAATTATCTACATTTAATGTCATTATGATACAATTTTTCTTCTTCAACTAATAGCTTATTCACAAAAGCATCGCGAAATTTGGTGTCATAAGCAAACAACTTGTAAAAAGGGGAATTATCCTACTTTATCACAAAATATTACATTAACGTCCATTTTTCATAAATCTTGACCTTATTTAAAATTAAAGATATTACATTTATCAACATTTTATGATTTTACGTTTTACTCCGAAGAACCGCTCTTTAGAGAGCCGCGAATTTAGGTGCTGTTTATGAGTGTTTGTAGTATTTAGTTCTTGAACTACGCGAAGACAAGTTGTGGATATACTCCTGAAGTGTTGCGTTGGACGACTAAGGAACGTATTGTTCCCGACGTTTTATCGGGAATGACGTCTGAACAACATGTTTGTGAACAGATTGAACATTCCTCTTACATTTCACTATTCAGATCAGCACGTAGAGCTGAAACACTCAAGGGTGGATTACAGATGACAGATTCTGTAGGGATGGGGCAAAGATGTATCAATGGTTTCTGCAGCATTTTCCTTTTCCTCAGAATCATGACTTATTATCAATCAGCACTGGTAATTGTGACTGACGATATATTAAATAACTGTCGTTAAGATTGAAATTTAGACCGTAAAAGTGCGAGTATATTACGCAATTAGTTATTTTGTAATGTGAAAGTTTATTGTACGAGTACATGTTTTGAAAACGAGCGACGTTAGGGGCGATTAGGTTTTTTTTTTTTTCGCATAATAGTATTATACATTTATAAGAGATTCAAAGTGAATTGTTGTAAATAACTTTATTGTGATGTATTTGACATCTGTGCGAAAAAAAACGGGGATCGGCTGTTCGGTATACCGCTACCCCCCCCCCCGATTCTCTCGGTGCGATTGGCTGAATGTGTGATGACGTCATGATCTGTGCCATAAATGGCAAATACGTCATAATCTGCACCATAAGATGCCATTTTATGAGCGATTGTAACGAAAAAGGTCGTTTATACACCTGGAATAAAAAAAAACTTTAAAAAATTTTTAAAAAACAGATGCAGTATACCAGATCCATGATACTCGACCCACGAATTGAAATGCCGTGGATTTAATGATGAAAAAAAGTACCACAATTTTACAGCGATATTAACTTAAATAAACAGATTTCTCAGAATTTATAAAATGTCACTTATAACGTTCTGGTTTTCAGAGTTAGTGAGTAAGGGAGGTAAGAGAAGGGCAATTTTCACAGTAACGTCTAGTCATATTTTAATGTCGATTTCATTGATCCTAGAATAAAAACTCGAATACATAAAATTTTGGGATAGTACCCTAATTGATTTCACATCAGGTCAATGTGTAGTAAAATGGATAGTTTTTAAGTTATATTGAGATAAATTAGTATAATCCCCGTTTTTTCATGTTTTTTGCTTCAATTATCAATTTTCGCGTCATTCTTGCGGCTAAACCGTTGATGTGATATAAAACATGAAGACATTAAAAGTAGGTAATTTTATCTTCTATTATTTTATACGAGGTTATTCAAGAATAATGGATATTTTTTAGTTATTAAAAAAATGAAAAAGTCACGCTTTTTACAATTTTTTTGTTTACAAAAGTGTTTTCAGGAAACATTCCAGTAGGCAAATCTAATATTCGTGTTTAGAGACCCCAAAACAACACAGGAAACAAATATTAAAACTACAACAAAACTTTCCCTTATTTTCTGCCATAAGGCTGGTTCATCAGTGACCTAACTTACGGTAGTACATGAGAGGGTTCTCGAGCTCCGGGCAAGGGAACCCGATGCTTCGGAAGTAGTCGAGCATGAGGCGCGTGCCTCCGGTGTACACCACCTCGCCCAGGCACAGGTAGGTCACGCGATCCAAGAACGGGAAGACGTCCGACCGAGGCTTTTCCATTGTGAGCACGACTGCGCGCCCGTACTTGCGCGCATGGTTCGAAAGAATGGACACCACGAGGTAGGTGTTCAGAGGGTCCAAGTCCCACGTCGGCTCGTCAAGCAGGAGGATTACTGCAACAAGATTATCGTTAAATTAGAAAATTAAAAAAAGTAAATTAAAAAGAACACAAGTTCTAAGTGACATGAGTGTTCGTCGGTGCGCTAATGTTCCTTTAGTCTACTCATGGTTTTATATTAGTTATTAGTGAAAAACGTTTAATATAAATATAAAAGCGATACGCGTTTCCACATTTTGTATCAAACGTGAAACATTCAAACTTTTATAAATGGCTTTTATAAATGAGAATAGGAAGTGAAGACGGTTAGTGAGGGAGGGCAATGACAGCTGGCAATGACCACGGATAGTAAAGACGACAGTACGTAGTGTAAACAATACATTTTGAAAGGAAGAAGCTAACAAGGACAGCTCAAGTTGTTATAATTATAATGTTGCAGGCAAATAAGTTCATGAGCATGAACGAAAGTAAATCTCGTAGCCTCCCACAGCATTTCACAACAGGATCATTCATAGAAATTGTAATTTTTCTATCTATTTCTGTCTCCCTCTCAAACGCACAAAGTTGACTAAATTCCGGAAGCACCAGCTTACACTTACATGCACTACACTACCTCACACGACGAGAAACCAGTCGGGAGCTTAAAGTATGTCCCGGTTGGAGCGATACCCCGCCGGCGGGAGGACCTGGATGGGGAATACCCGGCAAGCTGACATGTAGGTCGGCGTCGAATCTTACCATCCGGCTGTGAAGGAACATACCTCCACGATAACATTCACTACACTAACGGGACTAATGGCCAAAGCAGTAGACGCACCCGGAAAAAATAATCAATCAATCGATCAAAGCATTCCCTTCAATTACAGACTTCGGTCAGCTGACTATGTTTCCTTGCCACCTTGTCTCCATTTTAACTCTTAGGACTGATAAAAGGTTGATACTTCATCCTACAGTACGACCCATTTCACATGATTTGTAGATCACATAAATACTAGAATTAGGAGAGCACATATGTAAGCACGGAATTACTAGGATTAACAAATTTCGATCTGTGTTTTACGCAATCGGAGAGAGAGGGGAAGAGGCAGAAGAAAAGGGAGGGCCAGGGGGAGAAAGAGAGGAAGAAGATCTACAGATGGCTCCTTTAAAGGTTTCTGCGGTGACAGAGCAGACAGTGGGTATTTATTTCATCGCGCATTCACTTATTTGCCGAGTCGATGCCAGGAAACATCAATGAATCAACCTGGGAGCTGCCGACTCGTGAATCCTGGCCACTCACCCGGGTCGCGCACCAGCTGCACGCCGATGGCCAGGCGGCGGTACTCGCTCTGGGTGAGCTGCTCGGTGGCGCGGTTGGCCACCTGCGACAGCGCCAGGTCGGCCATCACCTGGCGCACGCGCGAGCGCTTGAGGTGGCGCGACACCTTGGTGCCGAGCGCGAGCTGCGCCGCGTGGTACAGCGTCTGCTCCACGCTCAGCCCCGGCAGCAGGTCGCACTTGTGCGTCACGTAGCCGCACGACTGCTGGAAGAGGCGCAGCGTCATGGGCGCGCCGTTGAGCAGCAGCTGGCCGCGCGTGGGGCCCTGCGCGCGCCGCGCCACCACCTCCAGCAGCGCCCGCTTGCCCGACCCTGCGGCACGCCACGTTACAAGAAATTAGTCAATATCGTTAATAAAACTCTCCACCGCCAACAGCAGCGCCCGCTTGCCCGACCCTGCGACACGCCACGTTACAAGAAATTAGTCAATATCGTTAACACTCCACCACCTCCAGCAGCGCCCGCTTGCCGCGCCACATTACAAGCAAATAGTCAAGATCTTAGGTAAATGTCAAGAAAACGCCTCATCGTCGCCAGCACGCTGCGAGACGCTGACGCTACGATATGCCATATTACAAGTAATTAGTAAATATCGTTGATAAGGACCAGGAGCGTTCACTTGACAACCCTGCGGCACACAACATTGCAATATGTTAGTCAATATCATAGATAAATATCAGCAAAACACCCCATCGCTACCAACAGCGTCCAACACTGCGGCACGCCACATTACAAGACATTAGTTAATATTGTAGATAAATGTTAACAAAACATCCTACAGCTACCAACAGCACCCACTTGCCCTACCCCCTCGGAACGCCACATTTCAAGCAATTAGTCAATATCGTAAACAGAAGTCAAGTGTCTCAAAAGAAATATTAAATAGGGCATGCAAGGGAAATTGTGTATAATGTAGTCATTGTGTATATGCATATACTCAATGGCATTTTGTGTCTAATTGCTAGACAGCCTTGGGTGCACTGGTGTTCGGCAGAAACTGAAATCTCGTTTACGTCAAAACGTGACCTGCCCATAATATGTGCATAAGAAGTTGCCTAAACATCAGGAGAAACTCATTTTATACAAGGAATTTTCCATGATAATGGGCAAAAAATGATTATGTACGATCTCTCTATATGCCCTAGATGATTGTTACATTTATTGTGGGACTCATTGTATACTCTCACCACTACCTCCAGCCGCATGCGTTAGACCCGTGGCATTTCAAGAAAACGGTAAAAACATGCGCAGTTCCATCACAGACAGTATCGACCATCACAGACACTTGCTCGATCCTTCGGTCCCCCACATTATAAGCAGTGAATAAATATTATAGATAAATGTCAACAACGTTCGTTCACATATCTACATTGCAGCGTCTGTTTCATTGACCGTGCGACTCGCCATATCAAAACAAGTCAACTATATTCGCCCCCTTAGTACTTCTAGAAGTGACAAATTGTTCATCTTTGTTGCTCATAACAGCGCAATAGTAAGTTAATGATGTAGTAGTTGCGATATCCAGCAATAAAGATAGGAGTTAATCAACAATATAGTGTTTACCTCAACTCTTTTTATCACATTGTTTTTACGTGGAACTGAAAAGGGTAGTTTTCATCTGATTATTTACCTCCATTACAAGGTAAATATAAAACATTTCCATTACGTTTTTAAAATCATATTCTACTTTATGTTTGAAGCGAATAGTGACTATATTGTTCCAGAATGTATAAACCTCTCTCGTTCCAATAGTCTTCGAGGCTTAATACTGAACAAGGAGAGTCAATATTTTGGGGGTGTAGGGAATATATACTTATTATTAATATATACATTTTTAGGCATTAAAAACTAGTATTTTGAGGCCAAATGCCTTAAAAAAACAAAAACAAAAAAACTTTCTCACACCGTAATCTACTGGATGAAATCTTTTTGAACATTCTATTTAATTTTTGCCGGGGTGATATGGAAGGAGGGGGAGGGGAGACGAAGAGAGAGAAAAGGTGATGAAGGGCAGAACAACGTCTGAAGAGTTCCGCTAGTATTCTATCTATTTTTTGCGTGTATTCCAGCCATTTCGAACTGCTGTATATTGTACTCTTGTGGAATATTGCTCTTGTTCCTCATAAAAAATGGGGAGGCAAATAATGTTTTACCAATGACCATGTAGAAGTAAATTGCAATCAAAGTTACACATGTGGTTTTTGCCCCTGATTGTTAGGCAACATCACATGCAATTTCTTTCAGGGGGGTCACGTAATCACTTTGCGCCAGAACGTGACTTGCCGATCATCAGAATGCAAAGTTGCCTAAAAATTAGTGATACGCATCACATGTGCAACTTCCATATTTTCAATTCCCTGTCACATGTTTATTGGCAAAAATTGATGAGTTTCGAGCCTACAAGAAACCCTAGCAGAATATAACTCTGTGTTACTCTGTACCTGGTAAGCCACATTAGATGGAAAAAGGAAAGAAAAGAAATAAAATAATTCTCGAAAAAAGTAATGATAAGCGACATCTCTTCATCGAGAAATATACTTTCTGAAAATAGTAAATAGTTTTTTCCCTCATAATTTCTTCTCCCAATAATTTCTTCCCCCGGAAACACAATTGTTTGACTGATACAACTTGTAACATCTCTTTATCTTCGGAATCACTGTATTGCGTTTGCGTCATATCATCCCTTAAGCAAGCACTAGATACTCAAATTCGTATTAAAATAATGTTAATTGCAAATTCAAAATCAGAAGCTTTAAAAAGAAACTTACTTTCAATAAGTTCATGTTTTAGGCATGAAACCGATTTCCTTTCTAAACATTTTAACGAATGTTATATTATTATAATAATCAATATGATTACTGTTATTATTAATATATCTGTATTTTTACCATTTTCAATAACGTCAAGTGTGAATGTATTTTTGCTCTTAAGGGATTTTACTGAAGGGACATGATACCACTTAAAAATCCCGTAAATGCGTCATAATGTATGTATCTTGGATGAAAAGCTGTAAGACGTAAAGATGTAGACTATGAGCATTAAAGTAGCTACAATGAGTTATCATTGTACAGGAACAGGCAAGTAACTCTTTCCCCCAGGTCCCTACTGTTCCGCTGTCCGTATGACTGCAACGTCGCAAGGGTTGCCTAGTGTGCAGGCGTTGAAGTCTCTCCGTTCGACGGCAAGTTAACGGCAAACCTACACGATTGAACTATTTATTTCGTAATGCATTATTTTAAGCAGTCGTTGGCCACGTTTAGTTTTATCACTGAATGGATGATAATAAGTTGAAGGTGAAATTTTATTGTTTAATGTTTAACACTTTTATCTGTGACTAAAAAATTTCCAGAACAATAATATGAAAACATTTTTCCTCGTCATTCAAAGAAAACAATAGACTGCTCATCATCAGTTTATTCATATATAAACGTTGATAAATTTGTTCTTAAAAAACAACTTATCTTTAAAATAACTAATAATTGAAGTATTTAATTATTAAATGATTTCAAAAATCTAGAAATCACATGATCAAAAACTTTATTAAAATTAAAATAAAGTCTTAATGTAAAGAAAGTTATTGCACTCTGCAGTGGTGGAAGTCAATAAATGTCTTCTATGAATGAATAACATTCAAGTTTACACTGATGTTTGATGCATTTTATTTTCTAAAGCTAATTCGATCTGTCACTGAAAAGTGACTAATACATGAGGGAGTTCCCAATTCGTAAATATCGAAGACACATAATCGTATTACGATTTAATATTTTTCAAAAGGAATTTCTGTTAATATACTTAGAGACGCATGAAATGGACACGAAAAAAGCCTTTTCTCACCTTTGGAGCCGAGAACTGCAAGGACTTCACCTCCATGCACCTCCAGAGAAACATCCTTTAATATGATGCCTGTTTTTACATTCCCCATCATCCTCTGGAAGCAGGTGCCAGGCTCCACCTGAAAATGAGGCGCAGGATATGCCTTTCGTAAACACATATCATTTACAGCAACAATTGACTTCATTCTAATTCTTTTCCATTCATGAGAAAAAATGTGAGGGATTGTATTAAAAATTATCATCACGCGAAAATGGCGAAAGTGTGCAAAATTATATCGTAAATTGAAAATATGGAAAATGTATTTACTCTTTATTAATTTCATGGAATGGACTATTAAAAATATATTTGATGTAATTACATCGAAAGTCATTATTTTAAAAGTAAATAGTGCTGCCTAACACAGGTAATACAGTCCGTGCTACGAGCGCGCTAATGTTTACAGCTCGTGAAGTTCAGTGACATCTTATTCCACTTTTCTCCCCAAGCAGTTTGTCCAACACGTTTTAAAAGTCTCCGTGTTTACATAATGACTAGGTGATCATATGTAAACAGACACGATGTTGGCTCCTTAGTGGTTGTCAACCGTTTTATTTTTACTATAGCACACTCAAAAACGAATTTAAAGATCTTGTATAACCTAATTTCAACAACCTTACACGATACTAACAGAAAAATTCTAAGATGTGATTTATATGCATTTTCCGGTCCTTACATTTTAGGTTCGCTCATCATTTAAAAACAAAACAAAAAGCAATGAAATATTTCTTTGTGCTAATCAATACGCAAATCCCTTCACTATCACCCACGTCCACATAATAATGTTTACGTACGCGTCACACAAGCTCGCGCTAAGCTCTTTCACTCACCACCCCCGTGTGGAAGACATTGCACAACTCCAGCGTGTAGTCCGCGTTAATCATTGTGTCTGTGTGACGTAAACTTGCGGGAGGCGACTGCTGACGGCTGTTAATCCGTGGACCGCCTCTGCGCAGGAACCTTCATACTCCTCACGGGCAGAGCGGCCGCAACGGCGTTCTCCAGCAACCTGCCAGCGACTGCGCGCCCCACGCCCTCCTCCCGCCCGCCGCACGCACGCAGCGGAACGTGGAAGACTACCAACTCAGCGCCCCGCTTCAATCGCTCCCACGCACGTCGCCCTGGGGCAAGATGCGAGCGGACACGCGCTTCCGACACACGTCACGGACAACGGAACCGCTTCCCTTTGTGTTCGCTGCAAAACGCCTTCGGAAACGGCCACACAGAGCCACAATGGGCCTCGAGATGAGCGCGCCACAGTGGCATGTCTTCGCGCGAAGCTCGCGGCGCGGCGCGGTGGTCGCTACCTGTCGCGGTCACGTGACGAGGGGCGCTCGCCCGCCGATTGGCCACACCTCGGGTTTCGAAGCTTTCGTCTGCAGCGAGGCTTTTAAAAGTGTGATGTTCCATTTATTGTAACTACTACCAACTTCGGAGGTTTTGTACTACCTGTCAAACGAACGTCTGCGAACTCTTGCAATACACACAGATGACACTACTGTGGAGGATCCCGAAGCGATTGTCTATTACACCTTGCATTGACAACTTCTCTAAAGTAAAAGGCATATTAAATTTTTTGGTTAACGTATAGCGTAATAAACTTATCCTTATTCCAAAATATCTGTCATTAAATTGCTTCTCAAATTTTATTTTGGATGTTTTTTGTACACATTCTAATTTAATTTTAAATTCAGTATTTTGCAAACCAATTAAAGAGGAAATCTGCCTCTCTCTAAATCCGTTTCTGTAAACGGTTGAAGACAAAAACAAACTTATGCTGAAACATTTCAATATCTTGAACTGGTAGTATACTTTCGGGTTTGGACTGTTACTGTTTTAGTCAGGTCCCGTCAAATTCGATGGGAAGTATAAAATATGATTGTTGCAATAGCTTAATGTGATATTTATTAAAAGGGTATTCATACTGCCTAAATGACGAAGGAAATTTGTTCTGAATAGTGAAATTGTGTAGTTCTGTCACTTCAAATTGAAATATACCACTTGCTCATTGAGGATTCTTGGGTTTGGGTATTAATTTTTTTTTAACTTCAAGTTTTGTTTCTCTCACAAGCTTGAACGAGTATCACTACTGGACAGACAGGAGTAGACTTTGTAATGTGCGCAAATGAAGATATTATTACAGTGTGCTGCAAAGCGATGCGAAGCCAAAATTCCGATATTCCTATCTGTTGGTCATTTTCACGCAACGAGCATTTAACTTTACATGGTTCCAGGTACCATCATCCCCTCCCAAAGCAGTGCTTCATCTGATCTCCATTCGACAAACACGATAATCGTTTCGTGATTGCGATGCGTACTCACTCCCTTTCTTCCATCGCTATCACTTTTGCACCTGGCAATTTCGGAGCACGCTTTAGTTTCACCTCATTTTCTGTTTCCGACTCACTCGAGCGCGGCTGTTCCAGCACGCAACCCCATGGCCCTCCCGGTGGAGTCTCTCGGCGCGCCGTTGGCACCCCTGCTCGCCTCGCATACCTGCCTGGAAGTTCACGCTCACTCACACAGCGGCACAATGTGCCTGTGCCAGACACCAAGCCCGCCGCGGCCCCGCGTACACTCCGCTAGCGGCTCAACGGCAGCGGAGCGTGTGTTTCGACGTTGTGCTTGGGCGAAATGCCGGCTGCCAGCGGGCTCCGTGCCGGCCAGCGCCTGCCGCCGTGATTCTTTGTGATATTGAGTGTTGTGCCAATCAGTGTCAACCGTCAAGCCTTCTGCTGCAAGAGGAGCCTTCCGGAGTGTCAAGGGACGACTGAAGCTGAGGTCACGCGCCCCTGCCGCCTGAGGTGAGTGCGTGTGAGCGTGTCAAACTCCGCGTGTGATGTCCCAGTGGTCCTGGCAGAAAGAGTCGGGGAATGCCTTTTTTATCACAGTGTACATTGCAAATTCCTTATTTCCCATTTAATGTCACGGGTAACGCTCACAATTTGCGTCGCTTCTACTCTAAAACCACAGTCATTAGTCTACTAATTCATTAAATATTAGGTCTGTTGCTTTGGTGTGGTAATACACTTTGTAAATGGTAATTGGTAAACTTTGTAAATGTTAAATGGTAAACACAATTTGTATTAATTATTCATGGTGTTATAAAGTAATTTATTTTCAATAATTTAATATAGATAATCTATGAATTCTCAAAGGTGAATTGCGTTTCTAATGACAAATGTTTGTAGACTTTTTACAATATTACAAATAAAATAGGACTGAACAAAACTTATAGATTATTCCTCAAAAGCAATTGTCACTAGTATAAATTTTGTAACACCATTAAACCAAATTTGTGACATTTTACTAAAACTTCTTCAAAAATCTAGTCTTTGCCAAAACTTACGAAGTATTGTTTCACGGCATTTTTAATTTTTCTGTACTCTCGTCGCGACACTATTATCCTCATAGCGATCAGCAAGGGAGTTGCATGTGGCATCTGAGAATAAGAGAACCGACTGGACAGGGTTATCTCGTTCTTGGAACAAACGAATGAAAATTCATTATAAGTAAATTGTAAACCTGATGAAACTACTATGTAACTATTTTTCAGTTCCATTTTGATCACTCGAACAGGAACAGGTAGTCACTCTGGCTTTGAGAATGACAAAAAAGGTTTGGTATCTACTGGGCAAGAATTGTTCCCATTCATACCATAATATATCGACACCCAATACTTCGGCTTTATACAGAGAAGATAAAATGTTACTGGATAAATAATGCTATTAAATATTTAATTAAAAAATCATGAGGCAGTGGGGCCATTTCGTAAATATATAATCTTTGAATTGACAGTTTAAATGATCTATCATGAAGATATTTGAAACAATAACATGTCAGACTAGTTATAAAAGTTAAAGTTAAAAATAGTTTTAAAATAATCATTATCAACCTTTGGATTTCTTTTTTACGAAGTACCGAAACCAGTGATTTGAAAATTCGTGATTCTCGTTAGGAAACATAGAGATTTCACAAGCATTTTTGTTGGTAATTTTCAATTTTCATAATAAAGAAGCTGTATTTATCACTAAAATCATAATATTCATTGTTTGTTATTTTTACCTACGAAGTTGTTAACAAACACTTGTGTTACTCTTTGAAATGCAAAGAAAATGCTTGGGAAAACAAGCATATTAGATTTCAAAAAAGACAATGATGCGATAGTATCCACGTGTCTGATCAGATGATATAAATATAAAAAACGTAAAAGGCCATTGATTTTGTAATAATATATTTTTTTTGTATTTCTGAGTAATATACTGATCGCTCCAGGAGTCATAAGTCTGATCGCGAGCTTCAAGGAACCTCCAACATGAATTTTGGACCATATAACACAATGATCCCCATGGCGTTGACCTCCAGACTCTTTCACATTTTACTTGAACCATATCTGAAGTCGTTTTTAGTCCCCAGCATCATTTATACGTATATTTCCAAATATTCTTAGTACAGTATGTGTCTTCGATATGTGCCTTCCTTCACTTATCGGATGTCTAATGTTTTCAACATATTTTCCTTTCTCGTTATGGAGGTATTTTTTCTTACAAGTGACCGAAATAACCTCGGAATCTGTAGCTGCAGTCTACACTTTTTCATCTCTCATTTGAAACATGTCATGAACTCTGACAGATGTTTCTAGTTAAATTCATTAGAATTAGATTTTTTCCGCTTGTAATATCTCTCAAGATTGCAGATGTGTCTCTGAAGCAGTATCTAGCAAAACATCAGCTTTGTACGTTGAAGGTTATTCTGTTAATAAAATGTCATACATATTGTTCCTTGTTTTGTTTAAAATATCGACATAGATATTATACATATCTATGTGCATATTTAAATGTATCTTTAAATAAAAAACCTAATTTTCACTCCGTTTATTACTTTAATAATTCATGTTTACTTCTCACATGCATCATTAAAGCTTTGGATCCAAAACGTCTCCTAGAGTTGGGTTAGGAAGATGGATATGAAATAATCGTTTCTTTAGAATTACTGTGATTACTGCGTCATATTATAGTTTCTGCAATTAAGGCAAATTTTTAAAGGGATCTGCATTGATTGTCAAAAACTGAAGAATTAGGAACAAGAAATAGTTGAGAAAGAGAAACAAAAATTACTTCTAAATGTTGCAGAATGATAACATTTGATGTTCCTGCGTATAATAAGTGTGTCAAATTTGAGAATTTAAGATAATCCACGAAGAATCGAATACATTTCTTAGGAATTCACATGGTATATTTTGAAGAGATTTCAGATTTATAGCCCTTTCAGTAAGCATTTTCAAGGAAGGGTGGATTTATTTCTTATAAATCATGGAATTTACCTGTGGTTGGAGAGTTTTTAACAGTAATCTTTGAAATATTTTGTTATCGGAGTTCTATAACGTATGTCTAGATTGGCTTCATTAATTATACTCATAGGTTTACTCGTATTGTGTTTTTGAAAGGAAGGGTAGCACGCTTTCAGTTTACTCATTTGTATATTGTAAGTTTCTTGTCTAATTATTTTCTTGTGCTCGGAACGTAAGTTCGGCAGACCTGTTTCTACACAAATGCATACCTTCTTCTTCTTCTTAAGTGCATTCGAAATGCCTTGGCGATCGTAATTGGCACGCGTTCGTCTCTACCGGGTGTTGCGGGCTCTGTTTACATAACATAGTTGAACAACTCCGGACGAACCACGAGAATTCTCGTTAGGCGCGATTGTTGAGGGGTTGCGAGTTTGACAGGAGCGTGGAAAAATATTGCGTTCGAAAGAGTGGCGGAAGTTTTTAGCGGTTTGCTGATTCAGCGTGCTGATCTGCCATATTGTTTGGGTTGGTAAGAAACAGTATCAGATTTTTGATCGACTGCAGAAATTGCCATTTATTTACTTTCTGCGTTCTCACAGTTTCCTCATCAAACATTCTAACTTTAATCGTCATTCTTATATTCTAAGATGAAGTGGTATTCTTCCAAGTTAAGTAACATATATTCCACGAGTAACATAAGAAATCTAATTAGCCATTAACTGATCGTACGCAATAAGACGGTGCGCGTTTGCATATTTACGTTCCTGTAACAAGCAACCTTTCGAATCAAGATATTACATGTTCACGTTACTCTGGCCTTTTCCGATACTTGCCCCTTAATGAAATGAATTAACCGAGCGCAAACGGAATTCAAATAACAGCTGACCTGATTGGTTGCTTTCGTGTACAAAAATGGTGCACGTGGTCACAAATTGTAAACAGTTCGAGAGGAAAG